CTGAAATTAAAAACTCACCGACCAATATTGCCTAAAGAAGTGTAGAATGACCCAAACCAGAACTGATCTTCATTATAAATTGGTCGACATTTGGTAACATCATCCTAAACCTTTTTCTTTTCAATTTTTCATTTGAACTTCATGTTATGCCTCTCTTAATCCGATTTCTTTCACCGGGACGGTGCAAGTTAAGTCTGGGGGGATTACTAACAATGTTTGTTCATTTTGGCGTTTTCATTTGCATTTTTCCCTTTTATCGAGTCGTTTTTATTGAGTCAAAATTTTTGTCGAGAATCATGACCTTATCTTGGATCTAACCATGGTTGTACTAATGTTTAAGTGACCATTGAGCAGTTCTTGGCAATACATCTTACCACAGGTGCACTATGAGTTGATCGATCTACCAAAAACGCCTACATCTCTAAAGACTTGAGAAGGATCCATCTTTGACTCCGCCCTTAATGAACTTAATCTTCTCAGCTAGGGGCTTGGCATACAAATGGCATGATTCCTCATCCTCTCCATCAAATGAAAAAGTCTTAGTGAGTTCGTGCTTCCCTCTCTCTCCCCTTCAAATTTAAAGAAAAAGCGTAAGGTCCAAGTAACCGGGGATTCGGTGGCAAACACCATCAATACTCGCGTCTGTGGAAGATCCAAGCAAAACCTCTATAATAAAGAGAAGGAGTTGAATAAAAAAAATACTTCGCTACCCTAAAAAAGGGATGAATCAACTCAAAGAAGTGAGAAGAGAGAGAGGAGAAACATGGAGTAAAAGACAAGTGCCAAACAAGGGGATGAGTAAGAGTCTAAAAGCCGGCTGATCGATACTCCCTAGTTGAGACCACACCTTTAGAAATGAAAGGAGTCAAGGGTGGCGAATTGGATTGTCCAAGGAGAGGTGGACCGCTTTGGGAAAATCGCAAAACTCATGGTATGTACTTTGTTCTTAATTCAAAACTTGCCAATGCTGTTTCATGTGGATTACTAAAGCATAAGTCAATTTGGATTTCCAAAAGATTTGAGAGTTCTCACGTTTTCAAACCTCTTTTCCTGCTTAGTTTGCTTGGGGACAAGCAAAAGGCTAAGTCTGGGGGAGTTGATATCACCATATTTTACATGATTTTACTATATGTTTGATGCTAAGGATTTGCGTGTGCGATATGTGAAATCATATGAAATGAGTGGAATGCAACAGGGGTGAATAAGATGAAATGGAATGGTGCAACACAATCAACAATTCCTCTTAACCATCATAGTCATTGAAGTATAAGAGGTTATCAATCCAAAATGGGAAACTTGTCACTCTATGAGAATATGAAACAACCAGAAAGTCAAGCAAGCAGTTATAGATTTGAAGTAACACTAACAACCTAAGAAATGAAAATGCAGTGCAATAAAAGTAAACAAAGCAGTAAACAAGTAGCTCGACCAAGGACTCGAGTCGAGTTGGGACAGAGTACCGAGCTCGATCGAGTTTAGGGTCGAGTTAGGAAAAAGACAGTAAAGGTGACGACTTTAACAAGATAAAGAGAGAATTAGGGTTCAAGACAGGGTTTTGCAATCAAAGGAATCTACACTTAATCAATTCTAGCTCTTAAAACTCCTTGTATCAAGGCTTCTCTTGATATTGGGCTTCTCAATGCCTAGCCAACCCTTTCCCAAGGTGAGGCTATCAACCAAGGAATGATCTCAGAAACAGGGGGTTAGCCAGTGAGAATCAAACCTTGGAGGCCATAGGATCATTGCCCAAACTAATCCATCCAACCCCTTAGACCTCTATTGTCTAGAGCAAGAGATATTGGAGCTCTTAGTGGATCTTTTCCAGCGAATGCCATCACTTCCGTGTGGGGATCGCCTAAGGACTTACAAGCCAGGGGTAGTGGTCATGTAGCCTTAAGATCTATCCAAAAGAGAGAGAATCTAGATTAAGACCATAAGCTAGAAGGATTAAGCATATGAAACCTCTAATCTAACCCATCTCAAACCCTAATGGGTAACTACTCACTACACATGAATGTAAACACAAGCAAATGCAATGAAATAGACATCATAAGAAAGAGGAGATGAAATTAAACAACTTTTATTGAAATAAGCAAGTGCAAATACAAAGCAAATAATCCAGGATCTAGGATTCAAGAAGCAAGAGCTTCAAGAACACAAAGATGGGATTAGGGTTGCTAAAAAGTAAAGACAATAAAATAAAGAAAGCTAAAACAAAATAATCTAAAGCTTGGTGGTTTTTTCGTGGCTTAGAGCCTTTAAATACAAAGAGGTTTTAGGTTTAGGGTCAAAGGAAAGTCAAGGGGGAAGCAACATTTTTCGGGTTTGACTTTGACTCCCCAGCTCGATCGAGTTGAAGCTTGGCCGGTCGAGTTGAGGAACTCGACCGGTTGGTCGAGTAGTCGAGTGGACGGTCGAGCTGGTCTTCAAGATGGCTTCTCCCTTCTTCCTTTGCGTGTCCAGTTGAGCTGCTTCCATGCGCCAAGTCCCTCCATGCTCCTCATGTCCAATATGCTCCAGAATGCTCCAAAAGACCTATTTCAAAGGGCCAAACATGCATATGTATGCAAATGCAACCTAAAACTAACATGAATGCATAAGAAGAGAAAAGGAACAAGATATGATACAAATGGAGCTAAAACTATGCAAAAGATGCATAAAAGATGTGCTAAAACTATGTAAAATGCAAGTACATCAACACCCCCAAACTTGAACTTTGCTTGCCCTCAAGCAAACAAATAGAACAAGAAGAGATGAGGTTTGAAAACAAGCTGATTCAACACTTAAAAACATGTCCTCAAAAGCGATTTGCTAAATGTCCAACTTAGAGATTCTAAAATGCAACAAGGTGAGAGATATTCATTAAGATTTAACCATGCTTATCAACATCAATCCCACTTCACAGTCACTCAAACAATGCATTCAAATCAGCAAATCCCTTTAACATTCATTAAGCAAAAACAGTGAACCAAAAACATGCAAGATCAATCAACTCATTTGGTTTCAAGGGTTTATGGGTTAAGAGACAAAGAGGGTCTCTTTTGTATGGTGGTTTAGTAACAGGGATCTCTCAAGAAAGTGGCTTTGCTTTGGCAGAAGGCTAAGTGTTAGAACCAAAGATGATGCAAGAACAGCAGCTCGAGCCGCCTAATCCTAACTCGATCGAGTTCAACACTTAGAGCTTTTTAGAACAAAATCCTAACTACCCTTTTTGGCATTTCGCCTTTGAAACTGAGGAGCTTTGCTCACTTTTCTTTTAAGAACTTCCTAGGGAGAGGCTTCTTGAGGTAACATCTAGCGGTTTGGGATTTTCTAAACACTTAGGGAACTTTTCTTCTTTTTTGACACTTGAGGCTTTGCCTTCTTTTCATTCTACTTAGAACCCTTTTTACTTCCTTTTTTTAACTTCCCAAACCTTTACTAGACCCTTTTTAAACACTGCCAACTCCCTGGACTTAACCAAACTCTTTTTACTTTGGGTTTTTCCCAATTTTTACCACTTTTCTGGTTTTGACACCCAACTCGATCGAGCTCGAGTTGGCACCCCCAAACTTAGCCTGAAAACAATCCCAAGAGAACTAGACAACTAGAACTACTGCCCCTGCCGGTTTAAACACAACACCTTATGCTAAGCAAAGCCAAGAAAGGTTCTCACATTCGCACAAGAGATAATAATGGGGTTTGAAATGAAAAGGCTTAGGTTTAAGGTGTGGTAACTGTCTCAAAGGATGGAGATCAGCTATCTGGACAAGCAAAAGGGATATGAAAAGTGAAAGAATGTCCAGATATGTATGTGGTAGCCATGAGTTGAAATCAAATGCAAGCATTGGTAATTAAAGATCAAGTTATGGTTCAAATAGATAGGGAAATGCATCAAATCACAGCAATGGTTGAATGAGATGTGCATGCAGCGATATGATCAAGATAAACATGGTTTCTTGTTGCTCAATCAATCTCACCCTAATGCACAAAAGAATCTAAAAACAGGGCACTCAAGAAATCGCAAAAGATGGACAAGTTTTCAAAGTCAAATCAACAATGCAAGTGAAAAATGCAATCCTAAACAAGTCTAACAAATATGAATGCAAAAAGATGAAAATATTTTTGGATTTTTTGAAAATTTTATGATTTTTTTTGGTTTTTCTATGCAAAAGATAATGAAAAACTAAGAACAAAGAAAACAAGGTTAAATCATCTCTTGAACCCTCCCCCAAACTTAAATCACACAGTCCCTTGTGTGAGAAAAATTCAGTGAAAGATTCAAGAGGGCAAAACCAAGAAAAACAAGAACAAAGACAAGAAAATATGAAATGGTATATACAAGGGATGGTGTTTGGATACCTCAGTGCCCCCCAAAGAACTGGGAGGCTAGGTCGTGGTCTGGAGAGGGTAGACGGCCATCAGGAGCGCTCCACTCAACTGGGTTCGGCTCACTCGATCGAGCTTGCGGCTCCTCCTCCTCTTCTTCTTCATCTTCAAAGTGGGTGTGGCTTCCTTGGCCTTGGTGGAGTTGTGCTCGCTCGAAGCGGTTGTAGGGAGTCCAGCGGGTCTGAGAGAAGTCCTGGTACTGGGTTGAATCGTACTCGATCCCAGGGTTCTCAAACTAGGTTCCTAGTCAACTCGACCGTCAGCTCGATCGAGTTGAGTTTCCTCTGATTGGACTCGATCGAGTCCGGTGGTCGAGCTGGAGCGTCTGGCCTTAGAACTCTTCCTCCTTCTCTGTGTGTTGTCTCTCCTTCTCTTGGCTCGAAAGAGAGGCTCTGTGAGGCTCTTGGGCAGGGAGCCTTCTTTGGGTGGTGAGGAGTGACCTACTCCTAGGGAAAGTGGGGGCCTTGGACTTCTTCTTGCTTGAAGAACCAGAAACCTTCTTCTCCAAACTTTTGATCTTGCTCACCATCTTGTCCATGGACTTTTGCATCTTCTCATGGCTTTCCCTTGCCATTGTTGAACCTTTTGGAGAAGTCCAATCCTCTTGTGGGCAGCCACAACAGAGGGGTTCATCCTTGGAGCCTCATACTCCTCAAAGTAGTAGCACTCAGGCTCACCCAAGTCAGCGCTCCCCTGGACCTGATCCTCAGCTCGACCCTCAGCTCGAGACTCAGCTCGATCGAGCTCAGGCTCCTCTTCTCGCAGATCATCCTCATGCCCAACTAATGTGTACACAGGGGGTCTAAAATCAATGTTCTCACCCCTTACAACTGTGGTGAGCTCTGGGTTAGGCAGGAGAAACTTGGAGGGTCCACCAATGGATGTGTGAACTTGAATTGGAACCTCCCATCTAACTCCTTGTGCTCAATGAGGAGGTTGGTCTTGCAGAACTTGATGTCCATCCAACCTGGTTCAGTAGCTCTCCTATCAGTTGGGTTTACTCCAGCAGCACACAAGATAGGTGTGATGAGCCCTCCAATACTAAGCTTTCTTCCTCTTTGGTGCCTAGTGTTGTAAGCCGTGATCTTGTAGGTGAGGAGGTGGTCAAGGAAAGGCATCAAGTTCCCTGTGTCAGACCTATCTCCCCTTATCCTCTTGCCATCGCTTGTGCGTGAGAGAAGGGGCTTGATTCCCATGTCAAGAAACTTGAGTTCCCCCTCGTTGATTGTCCCGGTTGCCTTCCTTGCAAAGAAGGTGTTGGCAAGTGCCTTGTGCACATATCTCAAGACTGGGCTCCTGATCTGAGCTGCCTTGACCTTGAGGAAGAGTACACTCCATCAGCGATTGTAGCCCAAACCCTTTGGAGTTCCTTTTCCTTGAAGTTCCACTTGGTTCCCTCTCCATAGTTGAACCCAAACAAGATCTCCAAGCTGCCTAAAGGTCACCATTCTCTTCTCTCCCTTAGCCAAGAACGTGATCCATCCCAATCCTTGGTCCAAATCAGCTCTATCTTCCTCATACATGTGGTACCTCATTGAAGCTAGGAACTCGCAAGTGAGCTCCTTGTAGGATTCCATGTGGTAGGAGAAGAGCTTGGCCAAGTGCATGTTCTTGAGGACCAACTCCACATCTTCAAAGATTCCAAGGGCCTTCATGGTGTCAACATGTGGGTACTTGGTGTCCATGAAGTCCATGGAGAAAGAGCATCATAGTGCTCTTGGTACATGGGGAGCTCATCCTCTTCTTCACTTGACTCCTCCTCTTCCATGGGCACATTCTCATTGCCCTCATGCTCACTCTCCTCAATCTCTTGATTGATCTCTTCACCCTCTTCTTCACTTGGGAGTCATCATTCTCCTCATGTGGGATGTTCACCCCAATTTCAAACTCTCCTGCTTCGCTCTCACTGCTGAGAGGATCATTCCTTCTTTTGGTTCTCCTTTCTTCCCTCACCCTCTCAACCTCTTCTATGTCCTCCTTGGTTTGTGTTTTGAGTATCCTCCTTGCTCCTCTTATCATCTCCTCCTTGTGAACGCTGCTTGCTTCCTTCACCTCTCAACATCTTAGATTGGTCCCTGAAATGCATCAAAAGTTCAATAAATTAGAGTTGTAATGATCGGTTTGGTCAACTCGACACTCAGCTCGATCGAGTCAAAAAACTCGAGTGACAAACTCGATCGAGTTGGTGAAAACAGAGTATAACCAAACCTAATTCATGTATTAAGAGCAGGAAAGGATGCTAATCAATCAAATTGAACCAAGAACAACTAGTAAATGGAACAATAAGCAATTCTAGTGAAAACATAGCAACCTTAACCATTACCAAACTCAAATTCAACCTTTCAATCACATGCAACAAGTTTAAAGGCAAAACAGAGGTGAGGTGAAGCAAAACTAACAAGTTACATGCAGAGGCGAAATATGAAAGCAAATTCTCAATAACAAGTCCACAAGGGACACATGCAATCAAAAATCAAGAGAAAACAAGCAAAGGAATCGAGATGGAGGATGAAGGGTTTTAGGGTTCATACCTTGTTGAATGATGGAATTGAAGAGCAGTAAACAAAACTCAAGCAAAACAAGAGAGAACATGAAATCGCAAAAACTAAGAGAGAAAGTTGAAATTCGAAATTTCTTGTGGTGAAGAGAGAGATGGAGAGTTTCAGAAATTTAGAGTGTGGGAGAGAGGAATGGGGTTCGATCGAGTTATGGGGAAGAGAGTGTTTGAGATGTGTGGTTGAGATTAAAAGATGGGATAAAGAGGGAACAAGAAACTAGGGATTCTCTGATCAATTAGGGTAGTGGGGGACCAAAATCAGCTTGTGGGACCCACTCCCTTGACCAAAAAACGGTTATGAATTTGAAATTCAAAAACTTACCTTGGTCGAGTTGAGGAACTCGATCGAGTTGCCCTGGTTTCTAGCTCGATCGAGCTCGGTCGAGCTGGCTCCTTGACACCTAAACTTAACTTATTGAAAGGTTAAAAACATAAAGATAGATAGAAATTGCATAAATAGAGTATGTACAAGGATAAACATGGGACTTCCTCCCAAGTGAGCTTGTTTAAGGTCCCATAGCTTGACCTTTACCTTCTTAGGCATTGGTTGAGCTAGTCCCACCATCAAGGGTGATAGTGAGGACTTGAGACAGAAGCTCCTTTAGCTTGGTTGGGTCCCTGGACTGTTCTGAAGTCACCAAGGCCTTGGCTCTAGAGAATGGCCTTGATCTCCCCTTGTACCTTATCTTGTACTCAATCTTCCCATTTTCAAACTTGGTGGGGAACAAAGTCATTGTGAGCTGAGATGGCTTGACTGAAGGGGCCTGAGCTGGTGGATCCTTTCTTTTATCTCCTGGTCTTGCCTTAGAGGCTGCATCCTCCCCTTCTTGTAGAGCCCTTCCTAGTGGCTCATCAAACAAAGCTTGAAGGCTCTCTTCATCAAGCACACAAGGGGCTTGAACAAGTCGCTCAGCTCTTGGCCTATCAGATCGTGGTTTCTCAACTCTAGCCCTCTCAAGACGTGGCTTCTCAATCCTTGGTCCTCTCTCATCCTTATCCTTCCCAACTCTTGGTTCCTTGTCAACCCTTTCCTTCACAACCTTTGTAGCTCCATGACTCTTAGAACTGAGATTGGTACTGTCAATTGTGGCACAAAAGTCTGAACCTCTAGGCTGCAAGCGATATGACACCAAACTATTCACCTTGTGAAGGATCACTTCTTGCTTGTGAAAGTCAATTGAAGCGCCAACTGTACTAAGGAAAGGGGTTCCCAATAAAAGGCAAATCCTTCTCTTCTTCCATTTCCATCACAGTGAGATCAGTTTGGATGATGCATTCTCCAATTTTCAAGTGATAGTTCTTGAACACTCCAAGAGGAGACTTAGTAGTTGCATCTCCAAAGATGATTGAAGTAGTAGGGCGCTGCAAGGCTCCAGCTATGCCTAGCTTCTCTGCCATGGAGAGAGAGATCAGATTGATGCTTGCTCCAGAATCCACTAAAGCATTGTATTTAAAGGCTCTCCCTTGCACACTTGGGCATCTTGAGCTTGACAATGCACACTTGGGCATCTTGAGATTGACAATGCCTTAGTGGATTCTGGAGCAAGCATCAATCTGATCTCTCTCTCCATGGCAGAGAAGCTAGGCATTGCTGGAGCCTTGCAGCGCCCTACTACTTCAATCATGTTTGGAGATGCAACTTCTAAGTCTCCTCTTGGAGTGTTCAAGAACTATCACTTGAAAATTGGAGAATGCATCATCCAAACTGATCTCACTGTGATGGAAATGGAAGAAGAGAAGGATTTGCCCTGTTATTGGGAACCCCTTTCCTTAGTACAGTTGGCGCTTCAATAGACTTTCACAAGCAAGAAGTGATCCTTCACAAGGTGAATAGTTTGGTGTCATATCGCTTGCAGCCTAGAGGTTCAGACTTTTGTGCCACAATTGACAGTACCAATCTCAGTTCTAAGAGTCATGGAGCTACAAAGGTTGTGAAGGAAAGGGTTGACAAGGAACCAAGAGTTGGGAAGGATAAGGATGAGAGAGGACCAAGGATTGAGAAGCCACGTCTTGAGAGGGCTAGAGTTGAGAAACCACGATCTGATAGGCCAAGAGCTGAGACTTGTTCAAGCCCCTTGTGTGCTTGATGAAGAGAGCCTTCAAGCTTTGTTTGATGAGCCACTAGGAAGGGCTCTAAAAGAAGGGGAGGATGCAGCCTCTAAGGCAAGACCAGGGATAAAAGAAAGGATCCACCAGCTCAGGCCCCTTCAGTCAAGCCATCTCAGCTCACAATGACTTTGTTCCCCACCAAGTTTGAAAATGGGAAGATTGAGTACAAGATAAGGTACAAGGGGAGATCAAGGCCATTCTCTAGAGCCAAGGCCTTGGTGACTTCAGAACAGTCCAGGGACCCAACCAAGCTAAAGGAGCTTCTGTCTCAAGTCCTCACTATCACCCTTGATGGTGGGACTAGCTCAACCAATGCCTAAGAAGGTAAAGGTCAAGCTATGGGACCTTAAACAAGCTCACTTGGGAGGAAGTCCCATGTTTATCCTTGTACATACTCTATTTATGCAATTTCTATCTATCTTTATGTTTTTAACCTTTGAATAAGTTAAGTTTAGGTGTCAAAGGAGCCAGCTCGACCGATAGCTCGATCGAGCTAGAAACCAGGGCAACTCGATCGAGCTACACAACTCGACCGAGGTAAGTTTTTGAATTTCAAATTCATAACCGTTTTCTTGGTCAAGGGAGTGGGTCCCACAAGCTGATTTTGGTCCCCCACTACCCTAATTTGATCAGAGAATCCCTAGCTTTTGTTCCCTCTTTATTTCATCTTTTAATCTCAACCACACATCTCAAACACTCCCTCTTCCCCATAACTCGATCGAACCCACTTCTCCACTCTCCCACACTTAAAATTTCTGAAACTCATCTCTCTCTCTTCACCACAAGAAAAATTTCGAATTTCCTCTCTTTCTCTCTTAAGTTTTTGCGATTTCTCTTGTGCTTCATTGTTTTGCTTGGGTTCTAGCTTACTGTTCTTCAATTCCATCATTCAAGCAAGGTATGAACCCTAAAACCCTTGATTCTTCCATCTCGATTTCCATTATTGCTTGTTTCTCTTTGATTTTTGATTGCATGTGTCCCTTGTGGACTTGTTCTTGAGTAATTGCCCTCATATTTCTCTGCTGTATAATCTTGTTAATTTGTTTCACCTCACCTCTGTTTTGCCTTTAAACTTGTTGCATGTGCTTGAAATTGAATTTGAGTTTGGTATTGGTTAAGATGCTTATGCTTCACTAGAATTGCTCATTGTTCCATTTACTAGTTGTTCTTGGTTCAATTTGATTGATTAGCATCCTTTCCAGCTCTTAATACTTGAATTAGGTTTGGTTATACTCTGTTTTCACCCAACTCGATCGAGTTTGTCACTCGAGTTTTTTGACTCGATCGAGCTGAGTGTCGAGTTGACCAAACCGATCATTACAACTCTAATTCTTTGTAATCTTTGATGCATTTCAGGTACTTTAGTGAAGAAACAGAGTAACAAGGATGACAAACAGTGAGGGAAGCCGCGCTTCACAGAGGAGAATGGTTGAGGGTGAGTCAAGCAATGCAAGGGAAAGAAGGCTTAAGATGCAAGCCGATTTGGAGAGGATGGATCAAGGATGGAAGATCTGATGCAGAGGATATGTCTACTCTGAGGAAGAGTCTGAGAGTGAGAGATTGAGGGAGAAAGGAGAACCAAGAAGAGGAATGACCCATTAGTAGTGAGAGTGAGCAAGGGGAGTTTGAGATTGGAGTGAACCTTGTTCAAGAGGAGGGAAATGGCTCTCCAAAAGAGGAGTGATGAGACTGAGAGTGAAGAGGAAGGAGAAGAGGTGAATCAATTGGTTGATGAAGATGAGCAAGAGAACCAAGATGAGCCAATGGAGGAGGTTGAGCAAGAGAAGAGGAGGATGAGCTCCCCATGTACCAAGAGCACTACAATGCTCTCTTCTCCATGGACTTTTGGAGACCAAGTACCCACATGATGACACATGAAGGCCCTTGGAATCTTTGAGGATGTGGAGTTGGTCTCAAGAACATGCATTGGCCAAGTTCTTCTCTTATCACATGGAGTCTACAAGGAGCTCACTTGTGAGTTTTGGCTTCAATGAGGTACCACATGTGATGAGAAGATCGAGCTGATTTGGACCAAGGATTGGGATGGATCACGTTCTTGGCAAAGGGAGAGAAGAGATGGTGACCTTTAGGCAGCTTGGAGATCTGTTTGGGTTCACTATGGAGAAGGTAACCAAGTGGAACATCAAGGAAGAAGGAACTCCAAAGAGTTTGGGCTACAATCGCTGATGGAGTACTCTTCCTCAAGGTCCAAGGCTGCTCAGATCAGGAGCCCAGTGCTTGAGATATGTGCACAAGGCACTTGCCAACACCTTCTTTGCAAGGAAGGCACGGGACAATCAATGAGGGGAACTCAAGCTCCTTGACATGGGAATCAAGCCCATCATCTCACGCACAAGGATGGCAAGAGGATCAGAGGGGAGATAGATCACACAGGGAACTCATGCCTTCCTTGACCAGCTCCACCTACAAGATCACAGCTTACAACACTAGGCATCAAAGGGAAGGGCTAGTGTTGGAGGGTCATCACACCTATCTTGTGTGCAGCTGGAGTCAACTGATAAGAGAAGGTCCACTGAACCAGGTTGGATGGACATCAAGTTTTGCAAGACCAACCTCCTCATTGAGCACAAGGAGTTGGATGGGAGGTTCCAATTCAAGTTCACCATCCATTGGCTGGACCTCCAAGCTTCTCCTGCCCAACCCTGAGCTCACCACAGTGTAGGGGTGAGAACATTGACTTCAGACCCCCTGTGTACACATTAGTTGGGCATGAGGAGATTTGCGAGAAGAGGAGCCTGAGCTCGATCGAGCTGAGTCGAGCTGAGGATCGAGCTGAGGATCGAGCTGAAGATCAGGTCCAGGAAGTGCGGATTTGGGTGAGCCTGAGTGCTATTACTTTGAGGAGTATGAGGCTCCAAGGATGAACCCCTCTGTTGTGGCTGCCACAAGAGGATTGGACTTCTCCAAAAGTTCAACAAATGGCAAGGGAAAGCCATTGAGAAGATGCAAAAGTCCATGGACAAGATGGTGAGCAAGATCAAAAGTTTGGAGAAGAAGGTTTCTGGTTCTTCAAGCAAGAAGAAGAAGGCTCCCAGGCCCACATTCCCTAGGAGTAGATCACTCCTCACCACTCCAAGGAGGCTCCCTGCCCAAGAGCCTCACAGAGCCTCTTCTTTCGAGCCAAGGGAAGGAGAAGACAACACGCAGAGAAGGAGGAAGACTTCCAAGGCCAGACGCTCCAGCTCGACCACCGGACTCGATCGAGTCCAAACAGAGGAAACTCAACTCGATCGAGCTGACGGTCGAGTTGACCTGGAGGAGCCCCAGTTTGAGATCCGGGATTTGAATACGATCCCAGCCTTACCAGGAGCCTCCCCGGAGTAGATGGAACCCCTATGGACAGTACGAGCTAGCCATGCTCCACCAAGGCCAAGGAGCCACACACACTTTGAAGATGAAGAAGAGGAGAAGAGGAGCCGCAAGCTCGATCGAGTGAGCCGAACCCAGTTCGAGTGGAGTGCTCCTGATGGCCGTCTCCCATCTCCAGACCACGACCTAGTCTCCCAGTTCTTTGGGGGCACTGAGGTATCCAAACACCAACCCTTGTATATACCATTTCATATTTTCTTGCATTTGTTCTTGTTTTTTCTTGGTTTTGCCCTCTTGAATCTTTCACTAAATTTTTCTCACACAAGGGACTGTGTGATTTAAGTTTGGGGGAGGGTTCAAGAGATGATTTAACCTTGTTTTCTTTGTTCTTAGTTTTTCATCTTTTGCATAGAAAAACCAAAAAAATCATAAAATTTTCAAAAAATCCAAAAATATTTTCATCTTTTTGCATTCATATTTGTTAGACTTGTTTAGGATTGCATTTTTCACTTGCATTGTTGATTTGACTTTGAAAACTTGTCCATCTTTTGCGATTTCTTGAGTGCCCTGTTTTTAGATTCTTTTGTGCATTAGGGTGAGATTGATTGAGCAGCAAGAACCATGTTTATCTTGATCATATCACTGCATGCACATCTCATTCAACCATTGCTGTGATTTGATGCATTTCCCTATCTATTTGAACCATAACTTGATCTTTAATTACCAATGCTTGCATTTGATTTCAACTCATGGCTACCACATACATATCTGGACATTCTTTACCATTTTCATATCCCTTTTGCTTGTCCAGATAGCTGATCTCTATCTTTGAGACAGTTACCACACCTTAAACCTAAGCCTTTTCATTTCAAACCCCATTTTATCTCTTGTGCGAATGTGAGAACCTTTCTTGGCTTTGCTTAGCATAAGGTGTTGTGTTTAAACCGGCAGGGGCAGTAGTTCTAGTTGTCTAGTTCTCTTGGGATTGTTTTCAGGCTAAGTTTGGGGGTGCCAACTCGAGCTCGATCGAGTTGGGTGTAAAAACCAGAAAAGTGGTAAAAGTTGGGAAAAACCCAAAGGAAAAAGAGTTTAGTTAAGTCCAGGGAGTTGGCAGTGTTTAAAAAGGGTCTAGTAAAGGTTTGGGAAGTTAAAAAAGGAAAGTAAAAAGGGTTCTAAGTAGAATGAAAAGAAGGCAAAGCCTCAAGTGTCAAAAAGAAAGAAAAGTTCCCTAAGTGTTTAGAAAATCCCAAACCGCTAGATGTTACCTCAAGAAGCCTCTCCCTAGGAAGTTCTTAAAAGAAAAGTGAGCAAAGCTCCTCAGTTTCAAAGGCGAAATGCCAAAAAGGGTAGTTAGGATTTTGTTCTAAAAAGCTCTAAGTGTTGAACTCGATCGAGTTAGGATTAGGCGGCTCGAGCTGCTGTTCTTGCATCATCTTTGGTTCTAACACTTAGCCTTCTGCCAAAGCAAAGCCACTTTCTTGAGAGATCCCTGTTACTAAACCACCATACAAAAGAGACCCTCTTTGTCTCTTAACCCATAAACCCTTGAAACCAAATGAGTTGATTGATCTTGCATGTTTTTGGTTCACTGTTTTTGCTTAATGAATGTTAAAGGGATTTGCTGATTTGAATGCATTGTTTGAGTGACTGTGAAGTGGGATTGATGTTGATAAGCATGGTTAAATCTTAATGAATATCTCTCACCTTGTTGCATTCTAGAATCTCTAAGTTGGACATTTAGCAAATCGCTTTTGAGGACATGTTTTTAAGTGTTGAATCAGCTATTTTCAAACCTCATCTCTTTCTTGTTCTATTTGTTTGCTTGAGGGCAAGCAAAGTTCAAGTTTGGGGGTGTTGATGTACTTGCATTTTACATAGTTTTAGCACATCTTTTATGCATCTTTTGCATAGTTTTAGCATCCATTTGCATCATATCTTGTTCCTTTTCTCTTCTTATGCATTCATGTTAGTTTTAGGTTGCATTTGCATACATATGCATGTTTGGTCCTTTGAAATAGGTCTTTTGGAGCATTCTGGAGCATATGGGACATGAGGAGCATGGAGGGACTTGGCACATGGACGCAGCTCAACTGGATACGCAAAGGAAGAAGGGAGAAGCCATCTTGAAGACCAGCTCGACCCCTACTCGACCAACCGGTCGAGTTCCTCAACTCGACCGGCCAAGCTTCAACTCGATCGAGCTGAGAAGTCAAAGTCAAACCCGAAAAATGTTGCTTCCCCCTTGACTTTCCTTTGACCCTAAACCTAATCCTCTTGTATTTAAAGGCTCTAAGCCACGAAAAAACCACCAAGCTTTAGATTATTTTGTTTTAGTTTCTTTTAATTTATTGTCTTTTACTTTTTAGAGCTCTAATCCCATCTTTGTGTTCTTGAAGCTCTTGCTTCTTGAATCCTAGATCCTGGATAATCTCTTTGTATTTGCACTTGCTTATTTCAATAAAAGTTGTTTAATTTCATCTCCTCTTTCTTATGATGTCTCTTTTATTGCATTTGCTTGTGTTTACATTCATGTGTAGTGAGTAGTTACCCATTAGGGTTTGAGATGGGATAGATTAGAGGTTTCATATGCTTAATCCTTCTAGCTTATGGTCTTAATCTAGATTCTCTCTCTTTTGGATAGATCTTAAGGCTACATGACCACTACCCCTGGCTTGTAAGTCCTTAGGCGATTCCCCACACGAAAGTGATGGCATTCGCTGGAAAAGATCCACTAAGAGCTCCAATATCTCTTGCTCTAGAAATAGAGGTCTAAGGGGTTGGATGGATTAGTTTGGGCAATGATCCTATAGCCTCCAAGGTTTGATTCTCACTGGCTAACCCCCTGTTTCTGAGATCATTCCTTGGTTGATAGCCTTCACCTTGGGAAAGGGTTGGCTAGGCATTGAGAAGCCCAATATCAAGAGAAGCCTTGATACAAGGAGTTTTAAGAGCTAGATTGATTAAGTGTAGATTCCTTTGATTGCAAAACCCTGTCTTGAACCCTAATTCTCTCTTATCTTGTTAAAGTCGTCACCTTTAGCTTTTTTGTCTCAACTCGACCCTAAACTCGATCGAGCTGGTACTCTGTTCCTACTCGACTCGAGTCTTGGTCGAGCTGCTTTTCACTGCTTTGTTTACTTTTATTGCATTTCTTTTCATTTAGGTTGTTAGTGTTACTTCAAATCTATTACTGCTTGCTTGACTTCCTGGTTGTTTCATATTCTCATAGAGTGACAAGTTTCCCATTTTGGATTGATAACCCTTTGTACTACATCAACTATCATGGTTAAAGGGAATTGTTGACTGTGTTTGTGTTTGCATCTTACCACCTCATCATATACCACTGATTGCATTCCACACATCTCATTTCATATCTTTTCACATCCACACACAAATCCTATCATCACACAATCACAGTCAACAATTCCCTTTAACCATTATAGTCATTATAGCCAGTGCCGGCCCGAACTCTTACTGCGCCTAAAGCACAAATATTTTTTTTTGCCCCTTTAAGGCAACAATATTCTTTAAATAGTGTACAATCAAAGATATAAAAGAAATCAATACAACGTAATTTGTTTGAGTTTTGAGTCTTGAGTCTTTTGACCACTTATTTCATCTTCTCTTTTTAATTCTCTTCCTATTTGCATATCCACTTAGTTGAGTTATGATTATATTTTCTGGCAACATTGCTACAAATCCATGAATTTTTTTAGATAATTTGTTTTACTTAATGAAAAGAAAAAAACAAAACAATGCATAAACCAGAAAATAGTGGGCAACAACTTAGTAATAAATTTTAGCTCATAGGTCTTATTGAATCCTTCAATTTTCCAAACATGAGAGAGTATGATAAAGGATTAGAACACAATGATAAATCTCATGTTTGTTCATAAAGTTTTATGTAAGAGAAGAAAAATTACGTGAATAAGATGATAAAACAGCAGAGATCAACAATATAGTATAATCAAACAGAAAATCGTTGGAGTCTCATTGTGTCTCAGAAATTTTTTTGGCAATGAATAATAAAAGAAAACGGCTCTTAATGGCATCAAAAAAGAGAAAAAGGTACTTAACTTTTTAAGTTTTTATTGTTTTCTAACTAAGTTACTTACTATATATCATTCACATCATTTATTTAGTTTTATAAATAAGAAAGGAATCGAAGTTTATCACAAAACAGACATAAGATGGAGCAGGTCTTTAAGAAAGAAAAAAAAAACATCAAACACATAGGTTCGAACCCAACACCGGTTCCAATGCTATCAATACCATTTTTTCCTGTACCCGAGAAGTCCCTAACGATTAAACAAACCAATACACCTAGGGAAGCTTATGTGTCTTGGCGCCCTTAGTAAACTTATATAATCTGGCGCCTAAAGCAACATGCTTTAGTTGCTTTAGCCCAGGGCGGCCCTGATTATAGCATAAAGGGTATCAATCCAAAATGGGTGAAGTTGTCATTCTATGAGAATATGAAATAACAAAGAAGTTAAGCAAGCAGTAATTGAAATGGTGGTAACACTAAAAACCTAATGAAACAGTAAGGCAATGCAGTAAGTAAATAAAGCAGTAGAGCAACAGCTCGACCAAGGACTCGAGTCCAGTGGGAACAGAGTAACCGAGCTCGATCGAGTTTAGGGTCGAGTTGAAGAAAAAAGCGATAAAGGCAGCGACTTTAATAAGCTAAAGCGAACAATAGGGTCTAAGACAGGGTTTTACAATCAGAGGAAGGCTATACTTAATTAATCTTGCACTCAACAACTTGTATCAAGGTATCTCTTGATATTGAGCTTCTCAATGCCTAGCTAACCCATCTTTGACCCTAAGGAAAACTACTCACTACACATGAATGTAAACACAACAAATGCAATGAAAAAGACATAATAAGAAAGAGGGATGAAGATAAACAACTTTTATTGAAATAGACAAGTGCAAATACAAAAGGATAGAGCCAAGATCTAGGATTCAAGAGCAAGAGCTCAAGAACACAAAGAGTGGCTAGGGTTTGCAAAAAGTAAAGACAATTAAATTAAAAAAGAAGCTAAAACAAAAGTAATCTAAAGCTTCGTCTTTTTTCGTGGCTAAGAGCCTTTAAATACAAAGAAGATTAGGTTTAGGGTCAAAGGGAAGTCAATGGGGAAGCAACATTTTTCGGGTTTGACTTTGACTTCCTAGCTCGATCGAGTTGAACTTGGCCGGTCGAGTTGAGGAACTCGACCGGGTGGTCGAGTAGGTGGTCGAGCTGGTCTTCAAGATGGCTTCCTCCTTCTTCCTTTGCGTGTCCAGTTGAGCTGCGTCCATGCACCAAGTCCTTCCTTGCTCCTTACGTCCCATATGCTCCAAAAGACCTATTCCAAGGACCAAACATGCATATGTATGCAAAGGCAACCTAAAACTACCATGAATGCATAAAGAGAGAAAAGGAACAAGATATGATGCTAATGGAAGCTAAAACTATGCAAAAGATGCATAAAAGATGTACTAAAACAATGTAAAATGCAAGTACATCACACCACATTCCATAGGTGTGCATACTGGATTCGAGTCATCCATCTTGAACTTCTTCAATACTTCTTTAGCATAGCCTTCTTGAGTAATGAAGATTCCAGAGTCTTCTTGCCTCACTTCAATTCGAAGATAGTAAGATATCAATCCAATATCGGTCATCTTGAACTCTTTCGTCATCTCCTTCTTCAATTCCTCGAACATACTTGGATTGTTGCCTGAAAATATCAAGTCATCGACATACAAGCGGGCAATCAATATGTAACATCCATAAACCAAATAATTGATAATTGATTTTGGTTCGATTTGAGTGAAATTGGGCCCGGTTTAGCCCGATTAAGGGTTGGAAACCCTTATTTTCGTTTTAAAGGAGAAGCAGCCGTCTGTTCATCATGTTTTTCAGGCAGAGAAGGAGAAAGGCGATTTTGAGAGTTCCTGCAAAAATCCGATTTTACTGTTCATCGGGGACTGTTCATCGGGGACTATTCATCGGTACTGTTCACGGGTTACTGTTCACGGGTTAATGTTCATCGGTACTGTTCATGGGTTACTGTTCATCCGCGATTCGGCACTGTTCATCGTCTTTACTTTTTCCATTGTCAAGGTGAGTGCATGACTGTGGGTCCGCGATTTGCTAGATTAGATTTGCTTTGTGGTTGTTCTTGATGAGTTTATGTTTTTACTTGTTATTTTATTATATTTTGGTTATTTATGTGATGAATTGTGTGTTTGTGTGGTTTAATCTGGTTTAATTGAATTAATTGATTTAATTGGTTTATCTGGTTTAAATTGATTTGATTCTGGTTAATTGGTGTAATTGAATTAAAATGTTTTAATTCAAATTGTTTGATTTATTTTCGGATTTAATTAATTAATGGTTAATTTAATTAATTAATCGATTTAAATTAATTAATATAATTATTTTAAAATATGGAAAATTATTATTTAATTATAAGAATCTATACTATATAAAAGTTGAGGCTATAAGCCTCTAAGAGTGTCCACATAGGATTTAGGAAACCGATTTTATTGGTCCATATAAACATCTACACAATTAGGAAATTTCCAGATTTTAAACAACCAATAGTATTACTCCACATCATCATATAAAATTTGGTAATTTCCTTTTTATTTTCAAGAAAGTTTCCTAATCTAAATATATTATAAATGTTTTGCATTAAAGATTTTACAACATATTTCTTTTTAATACCAACAAAAAAATAAACTAAATTAATATGTTTTTAAAAAAAAAATCTAAGATATATGACAACAATCATTATCTAACATGATTTGAATTAAAAACATCACAATTCCTAAAGTTGAGGCTATAAGCATCTGATAGCGTCTACATAGGATTTAAAAACTCGATATTATTGGTCCATGTAAGCGTTTTCCAATATTAATAAAGTTTCCAATTTTAAATAACCAATAGTATCAGTCAACATCATCATAGGAAATAAATTATATTTCTAAAAAATTAATTTAATCAACTTTTTATATCTCAAGAAAGTTTCTTAATTGGAAAATAACCAATAATATCATTACATATCATCATATAAAATTTACTATTTAAATTTGATTGGTCTACATAAAGATATACATGATTAAAAAAATTTACAATTTTTAAATATGTAAGAAATAAAGAAATTATTTATTACATATATATGATTTTAAACAGCCCAATAATATCATTCCAGATAATCACTAAAATTAAGTAATTATTTTCCTTTTTATAGAAACTTTCATGTAATCACAATTTCTTTTCAAGTAATTAAATATTTTTAAAAATAAAAAATATATTTTCTACTTACAACAAAAAAAGTTGTCATGTAAATTAGTTATATTGCTAAGACAAGAACCAAATATATGAAAAAAAAACACATAGGAGGAATAAATAAAAAAGTTTAAGCAAAGATGAGTGAAAATGAAAAAAAAAAACTAAATAAGAATAAATAGAAATCAAAGTAGGAGAAATTAAAGAAGAATAAATAAAAAATATAAACGAAAGTGAAGAAGGAAATAAAACCAAACAAGAATACAAGACAGAAGAGTACAGAAGAGTAAAGACGAAGAAGAGCAGAAGCCAAACAAGAATAAGACAGAGGAATAAAGAAAAGCAAAGACGAAGAAGAGCCGAAGCGAAGATGAGTGAAGATAAATATGAAACCAAATAAGAATTAAAAAAAAATCAAAGTAGAAAAAATGAAGAGAATCAAGAAATAAAATTAAAAAACATAGAAACAAGAGTGAGTAAAGAAGGAAATGAAGAACAACGATGTGTTAATTAACTTTATTTGAATATGTGTGAATATATATTTGTATATTTCTAACTTTATTTTATTTCTATGAATTCTTTACATTTTTAAGTTTGGTTAAGTGTATCAAATAGTGAAAATATTATTTTACATAAAGAGGATTACATAAAAAATATTTCTAAAAAGGATACAATGGTTAAAAAATTCCAGCAAAGAATAATCTAAGAAAAAAAGTAGCAAAACTCTATAACTTCGACCGTCTGAACTAATCATAAAAAAACAAAAAAATAATACAGAATAAAAAAAGGCAAAAATATCAAAGAACGAAAACAAAAAATAAACAAAAGATAAACAAAGATGAAGAAACAGACCAAATAACGGAATAAGAAATCACGAGGACGAAGAAACATAAAAGGAGAGTAAAGATGAAGAAGAAAGCAAAGAAGAATAAAAAACGAATAAAGAAGAATAGATCGAAGAATAATAAACAATTGGCGAAAAATAAGATTTCATAGTAATTTATGAATAAAAAAAATTACTAATCAAACTATAAAACAGACCCGCGCTTGCGCGGGTGAAAAACCTAGTCTTATAATATAAAGCTGGATGCGCACGACGTGGTTGCGACACGTAGGATTTTTATAAAATTCAGAATCGCGGCATGTGTCACTTTTAATTTTATGTCCTTTAAGATCGTGACACATGTCTTAGGAAAAAAGAAGAAATTTAAAAAAAATTTCCAGAAAAATTTTAATTAAAAAAAAAAAATTAATTTAATCTATTATATCAAAAAAGGAAAAAATAATATTTGTCAAATCCAAACAGATTCATCATTTTTTTTTATTATATAAAGTTGGATGTACACGACGTGATTGCTGACACATAGGATTTTTATAATTTATAAGATCGCGACATGTGACACTTTTAATGTTACGTCCGTTAAGATCGTGACACATGTCTTAGAGAAAAATAATAATAATAATTAAAATTTAGATAAAAGAATTTCTTTTTAGAAAAATAATCCTTTACAATTAAATAATCTTAGGGAAAATTTAATTTATTTTGAAAAAAAATGATAGAAAAAGGTTAATTAAAAAAAACGAAATTTAATCTATTATATTAAAAAGGAAAAGATAATATTTGTCATATCCTAACAGAAAAAAGTTTCTCATTCATCAAATCTTATAATATAAAACTGGATAACACAAGAAAAATTAATTCACTAAGGAAAATGAAAGAAATAGTTTAATTCCTTATGGAAATAGGATAAGTTTTACGGCTTATCGTGAATTTTTTTTTAATTTTTTTATGGAAAAATCTATATAAGAAAAAAAAAAGTGCTAGAAAAAATGGAAAAAAAACCTAATTCATATTGGCAAAAGGATAAAAAACAGAAAAAGAATAACAAACTTAATTCCTTATAAAAATAGGAATATAAGTTTGAAGAGTATATAAGATAAACTATAACCTTTCAACATTTCATTGTGTGTTTATGTCTTTGAAGCAAAAAAAAAAAAATATGTCTTTGAAGTTTAAGAAATCAGTGAAGAATATTTCACTCTAAATCATTTGGATTGAAATAAAAAAATATTGGTATATGCCAATGGAAAAGGAGAAAAAATTGCATGCCTCATATTTTAAGATAAAAAGGTTCCATATTCTAATGAGGAAAGAAAAAAATATTTTTTCAGATTTTATATTTTAAGATAAAAAAAGTTTCAAATCCTAACGAAAAAAAGAAAAATAAGTATCTTCTGTCTCATCAAACCATAAATAATAAGCTATAACCCTTAAAATTTAATTATGTGCTTCCATCTTTTTTAGAATAAGAAAAATCATGTATTCAAAAGTTCAAGAAAGCAACAGAGATTATTTGACTCTAAATCACTGAGATCAAAATCGAAAAGATCATTTTTTAATATATTATTGGTTTTAATATTATTTTATTAATTTAAAATATTAAAATTATTAATTATTGAGAATTATTTAATAATTGAGAAATTGAGTTTTAATTATTAAAATTATTTAATAATTGGAAAATGGTATTTAATAATTATTGAGTTTATAAATATTATTAAATATCTAGTAAATTGCGTAAATGGCTCGTAGGCAGAGTGATTGCCTCACTAAGTATTTATTAAATACTTACGCAACTCCATTCCAATGTGTTGCAGGTAAAAGATTTGTGTGATCGCGGAATCAAGGCTGAAGAGGGGGATGATAGGATGTTTACTGTTTTATTGTTTTGCATTATTTTGCTAGACTTGTTTAATTATTATTTGCTTCCGCTGAGCTGATTTATTTGTTATTGATATTTTATTTATTTAATTTATTTTAAAGACCTTCGCTAGAATTGATTAATATTTAATTAAAAAAAAAAAAATGTTGGTTGTTTCATTTTGGTATCAGAGCCTAGACGGTTTTAGGACTGTTAGAATTGCTAGGCTTTAGTATCATCCCCTTCAGCTACAAGAGATTCCGCGGTGAGTTTATGTTTGTTTTGAGTTTTGGTTGTGTTCTAGTGTGCTCTTTTCGGTTCCATGAGTGAGATGGACTGAGTAGCTAGAGGTGTGGCGCGAGAGGGCGCGGTGCTCGAGGCCGTGGTGGCAGAGCTAGAGGCCGTGGAGGCCGGGGCCGAGATTGTGGACTTCGGCGGATTCGGGAGAGAGTGTGGCGCCTAGTGTGGCGACTGCGTCGGTGACCCAGTCGGTATCCGTGGCGAGTGAGGCCAGTGTGGATGCGAGTGTTGGTTTGGGAGCGGGGGCTGCTCCGGGTTGGGGTGGTGCTCCGGCTCAGGGTCTTGATGACTTAGTGGTGGGTTTGCTGACGCAGTTATTGGCTCGTTTTCCGCCAGTGGTTCCACAGGGGCTCCGGGAGTACCTCCAGTGGCAGAGGTGCAGCAGAGGGCTGCGGGATTTGTTCAGCCGCAGGCTGTGGGTTTGATGGTGCCGTCCTATTTGGATATGATGGGGCACATGCAGAGGATTGGTACGCCGTACTTTGAGGGCGGAGTTAGCCGAGGCGGCAGATGTGTCAGAGATTGGAGCGGAATTTCCAGTCTATCAGATTGTTGTTTAGTATCAGGTGGAGTTAGCAGTCCACTATCTGAGTGGTGACGCGCATTTGTTGGTGGTTTTGTTGTTCTTTTTGTCTGTGATAGAATTGTGAGGTTCTCAACGCATGTGTTCGTAATGACCTTGTTAGTGGGCGGTTTTGAGTCCCACGTTTTATTCGACTCTGGAGCATCGAATTGCTTCATTACACCGGAGCGTGCCGAGAAGAGTGGCATCCGGAGTAGCGCGGGCGAGAGCGCGGGCATGGTCAAGGTGGCGGGAGGTGGATTCTTGTCTACTTTGGGCCGTGCTAGAGGAGTCGAGATCGAGATTGCGGGGCAGTCAATGCCAGCAGACTTAGTCATCAGTCCGGTGGAGCTGTATGACGTTATTCTCGGGATGGACTGGTTGTCACACTACAGAGTTCATCTGGATTGCTACAGAGGTAGAGTGGTCTTCGAGCGAGATGCAGGGAGGTTGGTTTATCAGGGAGTGAGACCGACTTCCGGGAGTATTGTGATATCTGCTATTCAGGCCGAGCAGTTGTTAGAGCGGGGCTGTGAGGCGTATCTGGCGACGATTTCTATGTCTGAGTCAGGAGCTGGAGTTGTTATGGGAGATATTGAGGTTGTCCAGGATTTTGAGGATGTCTTTCAGTCACTGAAGGGATTACCACCATCTCGGTCTGATCCTTTCACGATTGAGTTAGAGCCGGGGACAGCACCGATATCGAAGACGCCTTACAGGATGGCGCCAGCTGAGTTGGCAGAGCTGAAGAAGCAGATAGAGGACCTTTTGTCTAAGGGGTTCATTCGACCGAGTGTTTCACCGTGGGGAGCACCGGTGTTGTTTGTGAAGAAGAAGGATGGCAGTTTCAGACTTTGTATCGATTACAGAGGTCTTAACCGAGTCACTGTGAAGAACAGGTACCCACTCCCGAGGATTGATGAGTTGTTGGATCAGTTGAGGGGTGCTACTTGGTTCTCCAAGATTGACTTGGCATCGGGGTATCATCAGATCCCGATAGATGAGGCAGATGTCAGGAAGACTGCTTTCAGGACGCGTTATGGGCATTTTGAGTTTGTGGTTATGCCTTTCGGTTTGACTAACGCGCCGGCAGCCTTCATGAGATTGATGAACGACGTGTTCAGGGAGTATTTGGACGTGTTTGTCATCATTTTCATTGACGATATTCTGGTATACTCGAGGAGTCAGGAGGAGCATGCGACTCACTTGAGGTTGGTTCTGGAGAAGCTTCGGGAGCAGAAGCTTTTTGCTAAGTTGAGCAAGTGCAGTTTCTGGCAGCGAGAGATGGGATTTCTTGGCCACATTGTTTCTGCAGAGGGAGTTTCTGTGGATCCGGCTAAGATTGAGGCTATCAGAGATTGGCCTAGACCTAGTAGTGCCACCGAGATCAGGAGTTTTCTGGGTTTGGCAGGATACTACAGGAGGTTCGTCAAGGGGTTTGCTACCATGGCGCAGCCGATGACGAAGTTGACCGGGAAGGATGTCCCTTTTTTTGGTCAGCTGAGTGTGAGGAGAGCTTTAGTCAGCTCAAGGAGATGTTGACTACTACACCAGTGTTGGCGTTACCCGAGCCAGGGAAGCCTTACATGGTGTATACAGATGCTTCAGGCATTGGTCTTGGTTGTGTGCTGATGCAGGAGGGCAGAGTGATAGCATATGCTTCGAGACAGTGGCAGGGCAGTGAGCGTAACCGTCCTACACATGACTTAGAGTTGGGAGCAGTGATCTTCGCGTTGAAGATTTGGAGGTCTTACTTGCTAGGTGAGACAGTACAGGTCTTCACGGATCACAAGAGTTTGCAGCATATCTTCACTCAGCCGATGATGAACGCGAGACAGACGCGCTGGGTTGAGTTCTTGGCGGATTATCAGGTGAGCATTAACTACCATCCGGGCAAGGCTAACCTAGTGGCGGACGCGTTGAGTAGACGGAGGTATGATTCCGCAGTTGAGCGAGATGTGGAGTCTCTAGTTGGCGAGATCAGTACCTTGCGTTTGTGTGCCATTTCGCAGGAGCCTTTGGGTTTAGAGGCAGTGGATCAGGCGGATCTACTTAGCAGGATCAGAGTTGCTCAGCAGAGTGATCAGAGTTTGCTAGATGCGACGAGAGTGACTGGTTCTGAGTATGAGGTCTCTGCGAATGGGACTATCTTGGTTCGTGGGCGAGTTTGTGTGCCTAAGGATGTGGAGTTGAGACATCAGATTTTGGGAGAGGCTCACGCGAGCAAGTTTTCCATTCATCCGGGAGCGACCAAGATGTACCATGACCTCAAGAGGTACTATCATTGGGTCGGGATGAAGAGGGATGTAGCAGACTGGGTTGCGAAGTGCAACACTTGTGCCTTGGTGAAGGCAGAGCATCAGGTTCCGGGTGGTCTTTTGCAGAGTTTACCCATTCCAGAGTGGAAGTGGGACAGGATTACGATGGATTTCGTGGTTGGACTACCTGTTTCGAGGACTTTCGATGCTATCTGGGTGATTGTGGATCGGTTGACTAAGTCCGCACATTTCTTGGCCATCAAGAAGACAGATGGAGCTGCTGTCTTGGCTAGGAAGTTTGTGCGAGAGATTGTGAGGCTGCATGGAGTGCCAGCTAGTATTGTGTCAGACCGTGATCCCAGATTCACTTCAGAGTTTTGGAGGGCGTTTCAGGCAGAGATGGGCACTAAGGTGCATCTGAGTACAGCTTATCATCCGCAGACAGATGGTCAGTCAGAGAGGACTATTCAGACTTTGGAGGATTTGCTGAGGATGTGTGTGTTGGATTGGGGTGGCCATTGGGCAGATCACCTGAGCTTAGTTGAGTTTGCATACAACAACAGCTTTCAGGCGAGTATTGGCATGGCTCCATTTGAGGCTTTGTATGGGAGGCCATGTAGGACACCCCTATGCTGGACCCAAGTGGGGGAGCGCAGCATGTATGGAGCTACTTATGTTCAGGAGACGACAGAGAAGGTTCGTGTTGTGAGGCTGAACATGAAGGAGGCTCAGGATAGGCAGAAGAGTTATGCAGATAGACGCAGACGAGAGCTTGAGTTTCAGGTGGAGATAGAGTTTATCTCAAGATGGCTATGTTGAGGGGTCCTAACAGATCCATAGCAGAGAACAAGCTGAGTCCGCGTTTTATGGGTCCGTTTCCAGTAGTGGAGCGAGTTGGGCCATTGGCTTACAGGCTGGAGTTGCCTGAGATTATGAAAGCCTTTCACAAGGTTTTTCATGTGTCGATGCTGAGGAAGTGTCTTCACCCTACAGAGGAGTTAGTGGCTAGGATTCCAGAGGATCTTCAGCCAGATTTGACAGTGCCGGCAGTGCCTGTGAGGATTTTAGAGAGGAGGGAAAAGGTTCTGAGGAACAAGAGGATTCCCTTACTGAGGATTTTGTGGGATTGCAGTGGTTCTACAGAGGAGACTTGGGAGCCAGAGGCAAAGATGAAGTTGAAGTTCAGGAAGTGGTTCGACAAGCAGGTCGAGGAGTGAGCTTATTTCATCTTTGTAGCCTCAGTTGTTATTTTTGGCTTTGGTGTTATTGTATTTTCGTTTTCGTTGTAACGATATACATTTTGGAGTTTTAATGAGATGCAGTTTTTCCTCATTTTGCCTTGTGTTGTGAAATGGTATTCGGATGTTACACATGTTTGACCAGTTTTTGGTTGTGAGACGGTCTAATCTTATGGTTATAGACATTTTCCGGAATTTTTACTCTAAGGATTGCGATCCTGAATAACTCATCATGTTTTTGGAGACTTCGTTCTCTGGCAGACTCTCTGGGTGCAAGTAGGCCTCAGTTGAGTGTAGCTTATCTGGGTGCAAGTAGGCCTCAGTATAAGCAGTTTAGTTCATCTGGGTGCAAGTGGGCCTCAGTATGGACGTTTTCGGGTTCGTCTGGGTGCAAGTGGGCCTCAGTGCGGACCGGTGTGGACTTGTCTGGGTGCAAGTGGGCCTCAGTACAAGTTGGTTTGGTGTGTTTGGATGATGAGTTAGGAGTGAAAATTTTCTTGGAACGTGTTTATGACATAAGATTGACGTTTGTCTCGGGGATCAGTGAGGATCTCCGGTGTTGCGGCCTTGCGAGGTTGGGTTTTGTGGTCTTTGTGACGTTTGTTGGGATTCGAGGACGAATCCAGTTTAGTGGGGAGAGTTGTAACATCCATAAACCAAAAATAAATTGAATTTGTCGGTTCAATTTAAGTGAATTGGTTTGGGTCGGTTTAGTGGAGAAAGCCCTAAAATCAAGTTTAAAGAGTGCAGCCGTCTTCTCTTTCGAGAGGAGAAAATTTTGAGAGTTTGGGAAAAGATTTTACTGTTCAGAGACTGTTCATCGGACTGTTTTACTGTTCACGGGTTACTGTTCATCGGTACTGTTCACGGGTTACTGTTCATCGGTACTGTTCACGGGTTACTGTTCATCCGCGATTCGGCACTGTTCATCGTCTTCCTTTTTCCTTCAGTTTCAATCATTGTCAAGGTGAGTGCATGACTGTGGGTCCGCGATTTGCTAGATTAGATTTGGTTTGTGGTTGTTCTTGATGAGTTTATGTTTTAATTGTTATTTTATGATATTTTGGTTGTTTATGTGATGAATTGTGTGTTTGTGTGGTTTAATCTGGTTTAATTGAATTTAATTGATTTAATTGGTTTATCTTGGTTTAATTGATTTGATGGTTAATTGGTTAATTGAATTTAATTGTTTTAATTAAATTGTTTGATTTAATTTTCGGATTTAATTAATTAATGGTTAATTTAATTAATTAATATTTAAAATAATTATTTTAATTATTTTAAAATATGGAAAATTATTATTTAATTATGAGAATTATTTAATAATTGAGAAATTGAGTTTTAATTATTAAAATTATTTAATAATTGGAAAATGGTATTTAATAATTATTGGAGTTTATAAATATTATTAAATATCTAGTAAATTGCGTAAATGGCTCGTAGGCAGAGTGATTGCCTCACTAAGTATTTATTAAATACTTACGCAACTCCATTCCAATGTGTTGCAGGTAAAAGATTTGTGTGATCGCGGAATCAAGGCTGAAGAGGGGGATGATAGGATGTTTACTGTTTTATTGTTTTGCATTATTTTGCTAGACTTGTTTAATTATTATTTGCTTCCGCTGAGCTGATTTATTTGTTATTGATATTTTATTTATTTAATTTATTTTTAAAGACCTTCGCTAGAATTGATTAATATTTATTAAAAAAAAAAAAATGTTGGTTGTTTCACAAGATATCGTCATTTTGGACTTTGATATATAATGCATGCTCATATGGACACTTGATAAAGTTCTTCTTTTTGAAGTACTTATCGATCCGAATTTTCCAAGCTCTTAGTGCTTGTTTTAGCCCATAAAGCGCCTTCTTTAACCTCAAGACTTTGTCTTCTTCACCCTTGACTATGTAGTCTTGTGGTTGCGCAATGTAAACTTCTTCTTCAAGATTTCCATTTAAGAAGGCTGATTTGACATCCATTTGATGTATCCTCCAACTCTTTTGGGCTGCCATCGAAATGATAAGTCTAACAGTTTCAAGTCGAGCACATGAGCAAATACCTCATCATGTCGATTCCAGCTCTTTGACTGTAGCCTTTTCTGACCAATCTTGCCTTGTGTCTCTCAACTTTTCCTTGAGAGTTCTTCTTGTCTTTGTAAACCCACTTCACGCCAATCGCCTTATGCCCATTCTGGAAGTGAAGCTAACTCCCATGTATCATTCTTCTGTATGGACTTTATTTCTTCATCCATTGCATTTCTCCATGTTTCCTTATCCATGGCTTCTTGGAAATTCATGGGCTCACATTCCGCAAAAAGACAAAATCAGGTAAGATTGTCTTGATTTTCAGTTACCTCATAAATCTCTTGCAAGCTCCTAAACCGCGGAGACCTTTCGCTTGAACTTTCATCTCCTTGAGAACTTGTTGTTGGCGGAGTTGGTGGAGTAGGTGGCGCAATAGGTTCCTCTGCTGGTTGCTCCAGATCCTCTTCTTCAATGTGGGGAAAGAAGTTATAATCTTCATCATTGGATCTCCAATCCCATTCTCCTTCTTCATCAAAGATGACATTTCGACTGATTATTGTCTTCTTTGTCTCAGGATTGTAGAGCTTGTAGCCTTTGGAGTTGGCGTCATAACCAATGAAGATATATTTCTCGCTTTTATTATCTAGCTTGCTCCGCTTCTCGTCCGGTACATGAGCATGAGAAATACTTCCATAGACTCGTAGATGTGAAACACCGGGCTTTCTTCCGCTCCTAGCTTCTTGTGGTGTTTTTCCTGAAACGCTTCTTGTTGGAGATCGGTTTGATAGATACACTGCGCATGCAACTGCTTCCGCCCACAACTCTTTTGGTAGGTTTTTACTTTTGAGCATGCTTCTCGCCATCTCAAGGATTGTCCTGTTCTTCCTTTCCGCTACTCCATTTTGTTGAGGGGTTCTCGGCATCGTCAACTGTCTTCTAATGTCGTTATCTTCACAATACTTCAAAAATTCTTTGGACATGAACTCCCCTCCACGATCGGATCTCATGGCTTTGATCAAAGACCACTTTCCTTCTCGACATGGGCTTTAAACTTTTTAAAGTTTTCAAAAACTTCTGATTTTTCTTTTAAAAAATAAACCCATGTTTTTCTTGAAAAATCATCAATAAAGAGAAGGAAGTAGTTATTGTTACCGAGTGATCTTGGTTTGAGCGGACCACATATATATGTATGTATGAGTTCTAGTGGCTTCCGGGCTCTTGTCTCTGACTCCTTTGGAAAGCTCATTTTGAATTGCTTTCCAAGTAAACACCCTTCACATACTTGATTTGGATGGTTGATGCTGGGAAATCCTCTCACCATTTCTTTCTTGGATAGTAGCTCCAGCCCTCCAAAGTTGAGATGTCCGAATCGAAAATGCCAAAGCCAAGACTCCTCCTTGTAGCACATCTTGAGACATTTTGCAATGTCGTTTTGAATGTTTAGGACAAACATTCTATTCTTTGACATTGCCACCTTGGTAATGAGATTGTTCTCATGGTCCTTATTGAAAGATTATTATCCTTTAGTCGGATATCATAACCTTTCTCTAAGAGTTGTCCAAGGCTCAAGATGTTGGTCTTCATATTTGGAATGTAGTAAACATTGGAAATAAATTGATGATCTCCATTCTTCAATCGGATGAGAATATTTCTTTTACCTTTCACCTTCATCTTCGATTCATCTCCTAAAGCCACATCTCCCTTGATGGATTCATCAAGCTCCACGAACATGCTTCTTTTTCCGCACATGTGATTGCTTGCACCGCTGTCGAGGTACCATTTCTGAACTTCATCTTGTTCATCCTTCTTGTATGCCATTAAAAGCATGTCACCTTCTTGCTTATTTCTTCTACGTATTTGGACTTCTCTTCAACTCTATTGTTGTTTGGAGCTCTACATTCGGAAGCATAATGTCCAAACTTTCCACAATTGTAGCATTTGATGCTTGACTTATCGTACCTTGATTTTGGACTTCCTCTTCCATGGCCTCTTGATGAATTGTCTCCTCTTTGGTTGGTGCGGTCTTCATTTGGTCTCCAACCTCGTCCGTTTCCATATCCTCGACCTCGTCCTCGTGCTTGACTCCCGCCTTGTCTTGGATGGTTTCGACCACCTTCTTCTTTATCATGATCGATACGCATCTTGAGTACTTTGTCTTTTCTGCGATATCTTCCTTCTTCTTCTTCTTCTTTTCTTCATAGGCTTGCAATGACCCAAGAAGTTGTTCTATAGTCATAGCCTCTAGATCCTTTGTATCCTCGATGACGGTGACAATATGCTCAAATTTTGGATATAATGATCTAAGAACTTTCTCCATGATTCTCACATCGTCTAACTTCTCACCATTTCTTTTAAGGTTATTAGTAACCGTCAAAACTCTTGAGAAGTAATCAGAGACGAGTTCTCCTTCCTTCATTTGCAGCGCTTCAAATTCTCCTCTTAGAGTTTGAAGACGTACCTTCTTTACTTGCTCCGCTCCTTTGTAAGAAGTTCGAAGCTTCTCCCATGCTTCTTTGGCCGTCTTTGCTCCCGCGACCTTCTTGAATGTTTCTTCATCTAATCCTTGATAGATTAGACAGAGAGCCTTCTTGTCTCTCTTCCTTGAGTCTCTCTAAATATTTTCTTGAGCTTGAGATAGACTACTTTCATTCACCGGTTCAATGTAGCCTCTTTCGACTATCTCCCACGCATCATGTGCTCCTAGTATAGCCGTCATTCTTAGACTCCAATTGTCATAGTTTCTCTTTGTAAGCAATGGGACTAGGAAGGCGACACCGCTGTTCGCCATCTTTTAAAGAATCTTCTAGCTCTGATACCACTTTGTTGGAAGGAAAGCTTATTTAGAGTGATGGAGAAAGTATTTGAGAAGAAGTGAAAAGAGTAGGAAGATTTTGGTTTCTTGGAAGGACTTTATATTACAACTTCTTTATTCTTAATTCTTGATTCTTAATTACAAAATGAAAGGGGGAAGGAGGCATTTATAGCCTCCACATTACAAAATATCTCAAATATTTTATTCCTAAATCTAGAGTGTTCTTAACTAATATCTTAGATTATTTTATTACAATTATCTAGAACATGTCTAGATATTTTATTCTCTATAATTCTCTAGAACTTATTAAGGAGGTGGAGAATGAGATATTTCCAGAGAGAATTCTAGAACTTGGGCTAAGTATTAGATTTGGCCCAAATTAAACTTGATCCAAATCAGGTTTACCTTTCAACAAACATCACAAAACCCAAGTAAAATCTTAAATAACAAATGGGTCTTTGATCAAAATTCAGAATTATGAAAATACCCGATCAAGAAAAAGAGGTAATCTCATAACACCCAATACCTGGAAAAATCGATTGAATTGTCTCTTTCTCTTGCTCTCAGTCAGCACTCAACAGCACATAGTAGAGAATCGATCTCTCTTCAATGGCTCTCAAGATTCCCTTTTTATCTTCTTCCTCTCAAATGGTAACAAAATCCAAAGAAAAGGGCAAATTTGAGAAAACGTTAATGGAGATATTAACAAAGATCTGAAAACACGAAGGGTTAGTAGAGAAGTTCGCCATTAGGTTGGAAACCGTAGACGGTGGAAGTGAAACAGAAGAGAAGATGAAATGCCAGAGGCTTTTTTTCATCAGAATGATTCCAGGCCATGGAAAACGACGTCGTTATGGTGTTAGGCGGGGTGAAAAAAAAACATTAAGTAAAGAACAACAAAACAACGTCGTTTTGCTGTTAGTCGGGGTGTGAAAAAAATAGGATGCCATGACATGATCTGGGGGGGGGGGGGCTGAGGTTTCATCAGCTGGAGAGAGGCCACCTACTTTCAAACGAGTTAGGCAATACAGAATACAATCGGGGGACATAATTCTCATAAGAAAGAGACTCCCTTGCTATCTTATCTGCCACGTTGACGAAAGACTACCTTAGTTGGTCTCATTCTAGAGAGGAGATCCTAAATGTGTTGAGTTATACCCTGAATGGTTGAGGCGTTAGAGGAGATCCTGATGGTAGCATTTTCCACTTCTCATTGCAGTTCACTCTCAGGGTTTGTGCTTCTCTCCTTTTTTCCATATCATCCTTGTTTGCTCACTCTTCCATGTCCTCTTTCGCTTTCATCACTATCGCCATGGGATCATACTCAGTACCTTTAATGATCAGATCATTCCTATCTTTCCATAATCTCCAAATGATCCATGGTCCCAACTTTTCTGCTTCTTCTTCTCCAGGGTGTTGTTGTGCCACTGTCATGACCTCATGGAGATTAGTATAGATCAAATCAGACATATCTCTATTGACAGGAGCTGGGACGGCTGAGAGTGCCCAAACTAATCTGGCGAAGTGACATTGGAACAACATATGATTTATCGACTCTTCATTTTCCTGACATCTTACACAGAAGTCATCATGGAGCAAGCGTCGTTTCTTGAGGTTAGTCGCAACTGGTAGGCAATTACTAAGGTCCTTTCATAGGAAATGCTGTAATTTTGGTTTCTGTTTTCCATACAAGTTGATACAAGGCATCAAAACTCGGCTGATCCAGTAAGGTTGGCTGTTTCTCTGTGATTATCTTTGTGGCAATTCAATATCCCGAGTTCACAGAGTATTGTACCGTTTTAGTGAAATCCCAGCAATATGAGTCTTTTGCCTGATCCCCTCCTGGTCTTATCCCTCTATCTTCTTTGCCTCTTCCTCTCCAAAAGCAGTCACTAGGAGTTCTCTGTTCCATTCTCTTCTTCCTTCCCGGAAGCATTAGGTCTTTAACTTTGTGTAGCACATACATCTGGTTGATGAGGTCCGGCTGGATTCTTCTTATCATTCTGACAGGTCTCGCTGGCTGACTATCCAACCATTGTTCCTCCCATATTTGCACCTCTTCTCCATTCCCAATTACTGCTATGACTCCTCTTTTCAGATGTTATGTGCTTCAAAGATGCTCTTACATGCATACGATGGTCTTGATCCCAACCTCACCGTCATCAGTGGATCTGATTTTTGGAAGTATCTTATATTAAACACTCTTGCCATCAACGTATCTTTGCAAGTTATCATTCTCCATAATTGTTTTCCAAGTAGCGCTACATTGAAGCTTTCGATGTCTTTGAAACCCAAACCTCCTACCTCTTTGGGATGACAAAGCTTCTCCCAAGCCTTCCAATGTATACCCATGTTCTCCTTTGAGTTCTTCCACCAGAAATCAGCCATTACGCCCGCTATTTGTTTGCACAGCTTCTTTGGTAGTAAGAAACACGACATGGTATAGGTTGGGAGAGCCATTGCCACAGCTTTTAACATACACTACAAGAATTTAGTGAAATAGCTACCGTTTATTTTGTAGCAACAAGACACAATCCGTAGCAAAAACTTGGAAGGCTACGGATGGCGACAGATGAATTTTGTTGCCTCAGCTCCGACGCTAAAATTGGTTTGTCGCTATTTTGTTGCCAATTTGCGACAGATTAGCGAGAGCATCTTCCGCAGCCAATGGTTACGATATGGCTACGACATCTTCCGTTGCTCATTAGCGATGGTTTAGCGAAGGATTTTGTGTAGCTATTTGGCTACAAATTATAACTACGGTTTACCCCTAACAATTTTGTAGCGTACATAGCAACATATTTGGATACGGATTAAATGTGGCTAAGTGTTAGTTTAGCAAGATTTTGTTGTTGCCTTAGCTAGAGAAGTTGCTTTGTATTAATTGTAGCTAGGATAATATAGTTTATAATTTCTCAATAATGTTTGCATTTTTGATAAATAATAAATCTTATATTGTAAAAAACAAGAAATCCAAAATAATCAAAACTAATATAATCGTTAAGCATTCATTACAAAAGTCAAAACATTCTAGTAGACAAACAAATAATATAACATCCGAAAAGTGAAAACATAAAACATACGCAAAGTTTAAACCAAGCTTACATACAAAATAATTTGTTTGTTATGTCTTCAGTACAAATAAAAGTTCTAGCAAGAAGAAATGTCAACATTACCTAGACTATATTCATCTGCACGTTGGTGCTGAGAGGTGAAGAAGGGGAAGGATCGATTGAGGCAATCAGTAGCTGCTGGCTCATAAGATTGACAGCTCCAGTCCAATTGAGCAGATCCCTCTCATAACGAGCTTGAGAGAGAAGAACAACGACTGGTGGATCAATGGGATCATAGTTATCCATCTGTGAAGTTCCAAGTCCAAGCAGTTACTGTATGACTACCTACAATAACATTTGTTCAGGGAAAGAAAGCATAGTAGTGCTATTTTAAACAAAAAAAACTAAAGAACCAAAAACCAAATCATCAATATATAAGGAATAAAAAGCCTCACTCGCATAAGTGGTGTAATTGGTGTTTGTGAGTTGGACCCTTGGCTGACAAACTCATCATGATCAATTTTGGAGAGTTGTTGCTAAAGAACAATGGACTCAGCTTCTTCAATGATCTTCTTCGCATGTTTGTCAACAAAACTTCCATCAATCTTCATGTGCGTCTTCCGCACTAAGTACGTTATTGCTGGCTCCTCACCCAACCCTATCATCTGTATACATTTGTTAAGCATAATTGTATCTGGTAAGCATCAAATATCTGATTAATCTGGTAAGTATAACAAAAAAAATTGTAAGGATGTATCCTGCATATTAAACATTGATTCTTACAATTTAAAGCTGATATATCAATGTCAATCACAAAACTACACAAACGAAGACTCCATAATCAAAAACAACACTAGACAATTGACAAAATTTTCCAGTTTTTCACTTATTTCAGGGTAAGAAAAACATAAGCTATTCAAATCTTACCACCAAATCAGACCACCATTTGTCTTGCGGCTCTTGCCAAACCTCACCAAAATTCCACCAAAGTCCATCAAAATCATTGGTAAAAGCCCTTTTAATGTCATATTTGACCTCATTGTCGATGGAAATCCTATCACAAAAGGGCATACTATTGAGTTAGTGAAGAAGAATACTAGTTATATGAAACTTGAAATGTTATACAGACATTACACGGTAAACTCTTACCAAAGTGCCCTATCTTTCTTCTCGGGATGCAGAGTTGGCTGGTCTTGTCGCGCAGGCACCTGTAATAGCTCAGTGATGCTACGGAGAGGAAATACTGGCGGTGAACATGAATTACTACCCCTTGAGTAACCAGGGACCTTTCGTCCAACATTCCCTGTAAAACACCAAAGAAAAATCCAACGACAATGTCACACAAGAACCATAAACCGCACAAAAAAAGCCAAGATTGAAAGAAGAATTAACCCCTAAATTACTTTCAGTATATAAACAGAAGAGCATAATATAACCTAAAACCCATAGATTTCAAGATGAGTTGAACTCTAAATCGATTTTACCCAGAAGAAGGGATGAACCTAAATCAATTTATAGAAGAATCGAACTCTAAATTTCTGCAAGAAAATAGAAGACTGAATTAAGGATTGAACATTAGAGGGAATCAATCTAGGTATTTAAGCAGCATCGAACCTTGGAGTGAAGGAGGAAAGGAGCGATTTGATGATGAATCGATTTGAGAGAGAGAGAGATGCAGCGAGATATTATCAGGATATCAGCCGCGAAGAAGAAAAGGGAAAAGAAGAAGAGGGAAACGAAAGGGTTTCTGCCGCTGAGAAGAAGAGGGAAAGGAAGATTTAGCTGATGAGCAAATCATGGGAATTTCAGATTTGGCGAAATTTTATGGCGGAAACTCAAATTGTTTCCCAAAATTTTCCCGGTCACTCCAAATAGTTCCCCAAAATCTATCGCTAAGTATTACTCCGTGTATTACTAACACTCTGACCAAGCAAAATATAAATATCGCCTATAACCGGATGTTATCATTTTGACAAAAAATAATTACATAAAAACTGTGGAATCTATAGAGAATATTGTATTTTTAAACATCTGTTAGCTAGTTTTTTAGATTTACATGATTTTAGATTCTTTAGTTAAAAGATAATTTGTAAGAACCAACTTTGAATTTATAAGAAAGAAATGTTTTTTCTTAAACCCAACGTTTAGTTATAAGAAGCATAATGTGATTTAAGAAAAAAATTTATATAAGAAGCATAATTTATAAGATAATCTTTAAGGATATGAGTATAAATGCCAAATCAATTCATTAACGTAACGTAGATATTATAGAATCACTCAGACCCCGCATAATCCACCGTTCGAAGTTGTATAGTGATCTTCTATAGTTGGTTCTTCAACTATTGATGGATTGTCCATTTTCATTTCATGCAAAAATTAGAATAGATAAGTTAAATTTTGGCTTTAATTGATTTAGTAAGTCTAAGTAAGATAGTAAACTGCTATGAATTTCGCCTAAAGAAACAAGTTAAACTAAACAAATTTAAACTAAAGCAAAAATGTAGTTTCAGAAAATTTACCAAAAGCACATGCTATGTAACGTTTTAATCATTCCGGACCATAGAGAGTTCACCTTGGACCCGTATGTTTCGTCTTGATCTGTTACCGACTTACCCTCAAGAACAAAACTAGTTTATTTTTTTTGTAACAAGGCTAGAATTGTGAACTAGGTTCGAGGTTAGCATATAACTATTGTTTGGGATGAGAAAGGTGAGATGAGACTGAGTAGATCACCTCATTACATAAACTGACGATCGGTACCAACGTACCGTAATTATTATTTATCTTGGACGTACACCAACATAACATAAACTGTATCGTTTTGACGTTTCTTAAAACCTATGAGTTCTTATTACAAGTGAAAGGAACAAAGAACAAAGAGTCTTCCTCCAACAAACAGAGAACAAAACCAGAGTACTAAAAACAGAGCCACAACGACAAAAACTCCAAAACCAAAGAACAGAGAACCAGTTACACACATTTCATCGTAGCGCTTCTTGCTATAAGCGATGCACATTGTTTGACCAGTCGACTCCAACCATTAATCATCTCCAAAGATTGTTACCGGGAAACTTGCCAAGCCGTTGGGCGAGTGATCATTCCTACTAGCTCAGAGGCCTCTATCTATAAAACTGAAGGCTCTTCTACTATATAATTACCATTCCTTCATGGTTCCTAATTATCCACACGACCACACGCTCCACCGACACGTTTATTCTTCAAACTAATCGACATAACAAAATGATTTCAAGAACATAAACGCGTTGGTTAAAACAGAGAGAGATTTTTCGATGCACTCAAAGGAGAAACCACTTAAAAGTAAAAGCCCTCCACAAACAAAACGATTTCAAGAACATGTGCACCCGCCACCCTACATTACGTCTTGATCCGTTCTTGACCATCGAAGATTGAACTAGTTTTTTTGTTTCTTGTAACAAGGCTAGTTATAAGTTATATATTCAAATCTTGTTGTGTGTAAGTGCATGTGTAAAAATAATCCATAATTTTTTTTCGTAAAAAAATGAAGGAACAGAGCAAAGAGTCAAAACAGAGTATCAACCACAAAAATAAAACCATGGCTCATGAAAGAGGACAACAACGAGACCTTTGCCTCTTTTTCAAGAGCATAAAAAGAGAATATTCAGACTACACCATGGTAATTGGCATCTCATTTTCGAAGAGCTCTCGCATCCATCTCGGTCCACCTTTTGCCACATACGAAATTAGACGATTGTCCATGACCACACTTTTTGCAATCTCAAAGGCTCTTCGGTTACAATTTTGAGCTTCGAAACAGTTGTCTCATCCTACTTGATCTCTAGTTAGCTCAATGAGACCTGCAACATGTCCCAGAAAGGCTGGCCAGTCTGTCAGACTTATGAAGAGTTTTGATCACTTCCATTCATGACACAACGAACGTACGTGTCGTTTTCCACATGGAGAATTACTCATACTCTCGAGGGCCCATTCCCAGCTTTTAATCTTTCTATCAAATCAGTTCAACTTGTGAATAAGATTGTCGACTGTGATATAATAGCTAGCCTGATTTGTCTCTCACAGGTCACAACGCATGAGACACATAGAAACCACTAGAAACCTATATTGCATTTTAGTCGACCTTGATTGTTTCTTCCTCTTTTGGGCTGCGTAAAAAACATCCCTTGTCACATTTTTGTACTCTCTCTTTAATTTGGATCTATGTTGATATATCTATTTTTTTCAATATATATTAACATTGATCCAAATTAAAGAGTATATTAGAAAACTATTACAAATATTATTAATTATTAATTTATTTTAAAAACATTAATGTTTCTTAAATCTTACGAAAACTAAAAAATGAAATTTGATCACCTAGCAACTTTAAAGAACTTAGCTACATCAGTTCCGTTGCTTTGTCATTGCCACCATGCGATGGATTGGTGAGGGCACACAAACCGTTGCCATATAGCAACATAAATATTCATATCTATCCGTTGCTAATATAAAATTTATGGCAACAACTTATCTCTAGCCAATGTGTAGCTATTTAGCTACATAATGGCCACCACATCAAGTCGTAGCTATATTGCTACAGATTTGCCACAGTTTTGGCTACAAAAATAATATTATTTGTTCTGTCGCCATCTTTCGCCATTAGCGTAGCCAATAGCGATGGCTACGGAAATGCTGTCGCCGGTCCGCAGCTAATTCAGTGAATTCTTGTAGTGATAATCTCCTTTCCTCCTGCTGAGAGAAACTTGTTGTGCCATCACGTCACTCGTTGTTGTAACTTGTCTTTGAGGTAGCTGAGAATTGACATTTTCGCTCCACCAAATGATTCTGGCAGTCCCAAATATTGCCCTTTACCTCCTTCCTGGTTTATTCCCAGCTTTCTTTTAATATGTTCCCTCCTTTGAGTCTGGATTCTTTTTCCGAAGTATATATTGGAATTTTGATAGTTAATCCTTTGTCCCAAAGCCAAACTATACTTCTCTAGAATCCCGACTATTTCCCCTATCTCCTCATCATTCTCTTTACAAAAGAACATGCTAACTATACTTTCAGACCGGTTATTATTCCCTTCTGCTCTGCTTTCATCAATAATCTAACAAGGACCTCCGTGCAAATTACAAACAAATCTGGGGATAGGGGATCACCTTGTCTTATGCTTCTTGTCGGTTTTATGTATCCATGTGGTTGCCCGTTGATCAAAAATTGATAGGAGACCGTTGACACACATTTCATTATCATTTGTATCTATTCATCTGCGAATCCTAGCATTCTCATCACCTTCGCTAGGAACCGCCACTCCACTTCTATCATAGGCCTTAGAGATGTCCATTTTAATCACGATGAACTCCTTCGAACACTTATTATTCGATTTCAACGCATAGAGAAGCTCATGGGAAACCAGGATATTATCCGTAATCGATCTTCCCTTCACAAATGCAGATTGTGTATCAGATATTGCATGGGGAAGGATCCTCTTCAGCCTTTTTGCAATTATCTTCGCTACGATCTTGTATGCCACATTGCTCAAGCTGATTGGCCTGAACTCAGCCATTTTACTTGCTTTAGTCTTCTTTGGGATCAGACAAATATTTGTCTTATTGATCGCTTCTTCCATTGTTCCTTACCTGAAGAATGCATCTACCATCACGAATACTTCATCTCCAATTTTCTCCCAAAACTGCTGATAGAAGAACCCATTCATGCTATCAGGTTCTTGATGTACTCATATTTTATATGGTTTTAGTCCATCTTTTATGCTTTTTTTTGCATAGTTTCTCTCTTCTTTAGCATCATATCTTGTTCTTTTCTTCTTCTTATGCATACATTGTAGTTTTAGGTTTGGATTTGCATACATATGCATGTTTGAGCTTTAAACAGGTCCTTTTGGAGCATTATGGAGCACTTGGGACGTGAGGAGCAAGGAAGGACTCTGCATGGGACTCAGCTCGACCGCGCAGCTCATGATGAAGAAAGGAGCCACCTTTATGACCAGCTCAACCAACCCGCGCGACCCACCGGTCAAGCTAGGCCAAACTTGTCCAACTTTTCACTAGCTCGACCGGCCAAGACGCAACTCGATCGAGCTACTTTCGAGAGTCAAGATCCAAGATTTATGCCTTCCCTTTGACTCTCCTTTGACTTTAAACCAAATTTCCTTTGCTATAAATAGGCTTGAGCCACGAATTAGAGACAACTTTTGCCTAATTTTGTAATTTGTATTTCTCTTTTTAGCTTTTAGTTTAGTCTTGGTGTTCTTGAGCTTATGCTCTTTGAATCCAAGATCTAGACCTTGTACTTGCTTATTTGCATTTCTCTATTTCAATAAAAGTTGTTCATTTGCTTATGCTCTTTCTTTTTATGTTGGTTTCATTGTATTTAGTTGTTTATTTCGCCATGTGTAGTGAGTAGTCTCCCTTTAGGGTTCTAAGATGGGATAGGCTAAAGGTTGTTTATACTTAATCTCTCTTGCTTTATGTTCTTAATCTTAAATCTTTCTCTTTTGGACTAAGCTTAAGGCTGCACAACCACTATCCATGGTGTGTATGAGTCTAGGCGATTTTCTTCATGCGAATGAATAGAAAGTTGCTTGAACAAGTCCACTAAGAGCCTTAACATGCTTGTCTCACGAAATGAGGTTCATAGGTGTTAAGAGGTGAGTTTGAACAAAGGTTCTAACGCCTTCAAGGCTTGATCTCACTGGCTGACCTCCTGTTTCTGAGATCTTGCCTTGACTGATAGCTTTCACCTTGGGAAAGGGTTAGCTAGGCTTGAGAATTTCAATACCAAGAAACTCGATCAAGCTCATTTACTATGTTTCTACTCGATCGAGCTCTTGGTCGAGCTCTGTTGCTTTTACTTGTTCTTGCTTAGTTTATGCATTTACTGCTTTATTTACATCCGCATTCACTTTTCTGTTGCATTTTCATTCATTTAGGTTGTTAGTTGTTACACCCATCCCCTTTATCATTTGGCTTGACTTTCAAGTGATTGCATAGCTTCATAGAGCAACAACATACCCATTTTGGATTGACACCTCAAGTACTACATTGACATGATGACATCTTGAGGAATTGACTGTCTGTGATTGCATCTATCTTATCATACCATTCCACCTTCACCTGCATCCACCACATTCATATCACCATCCACTATACTTCTTTGAAAGTAAAACCCTTTCATCAATTTGGCGCCGTTGCCATTTGGGTTTGATTTTGTTGCTCATTTCACCTGAACGATCAAGTACTATCCCATCTTGGTTGCTTGTAGGGTTTTTGACTGTTTAGCAGGTGTATGCGAACTCGATCGAGCTCATATACAGAAGACTTGGTCGAGTTTGATAACAACATTTGTAGAAGACAGAGAAAGAAAAGCCAGAGGCAACAAGCTGAACCAGAGGTGCTTGTTACAAATTACAATGGATAATCCAGAGGGTAATGGAATCCCTCCTGCCAATGGAAATGGTCGAGCTATGCAGACTCGGCCGATTGGACTTGGAGATGCTCCCAACTGCCACCAGCAAAGGTAAGGGATTGTCCCTCCTCCTGTCCAGAACCACAAGTTTGAGATCAAGCTGGGCATGATCAATCTGGTGCAGAACAAGATGTTCCATGAGTTGTCTTGTGAAGACCCAATAGATCATCTTGATGAGTTTGATAGGCTGTGTGATCTCACCAAGTTAAATGATGTCTCTGAAGATGCCATCAAGCTGAGACTCTTCCCTATGTCTCTTGGTGATAAGGCTCACCAATGCGAGAATAGCCTGCCCCATGGTTCAATCACTACATGGGATGAGTGCAAGAAGGCCTTTCTTGCTAAGTTTTTCTCAACTGGGCGAAATGCTAAGCTAAGGAGTGAGATTTCAGGCGTCACTCAGAGGAACAATGAGACATTTGCTGAAGCTTGGGAGAGGTTCAAGGGTTATACAAGTCAATGCCCTCATCATGGCTTCAACAATGAGTCTTTGCTTTCTACACTTTATAGAGGAGCATTGCCTAGATACAAAGAGATGTTGGACACAGCCAGTAATGGACACTTCCTAAATCAAGATGTAGATGATGGCTGGCAGCTTGTGGAGAACATTGCTAACTCAAATGGGAATTATGGAGAGGATTATGACAGCCACTCGGCCTCAAACTCGATCGAGTGTGCTGAGAAACTGCGAACCGACATGAAAGCTCTCATTGCTAAGTTGGATAAACTGACCCTCGCTCAATCAACTGCGAAGAATGTCAACTCTGTATCTGGTAAAGAACTGGTTCAGGTCCAGGAAGGAGAGGAGAACCAATTCGAAGAGGTCTTTTACATGAACAATGGACAGGGTGGCTATCAGAAGGTTTGCTCTAATTATAAACCACACAATCAAGCTACATTGAGTCAGATCCCGCAGCATCGTTATGGCCAACAAGGAAACTTACATGGATATCTTGCCAACTTTTAAAGGCAACAACAGAGTGTACCACCTGGGTTTGCCCCTATGCCATCTCATGCCCCACCTGGTCAGGACATGGACATGAAAGCCATGCTACAGCAACTATTACAAGATCAGGCCAAGGGTGCACTTGATATGAGCAACAATAAACTCTCAGATTGAATCACTGAATTAAATAGTCAAGACCATTGAGTCTTCTACCGCCTCCACTTCATCCACAAAGGAGTGTGCCCATGCAGTGATGTTAAGAAGTGGTAAACTGCTACCTAATAGAGATGGTTCACCTCAGATCAATGTGGACATCGATGGCGAGGAAGGGGACGATTTAGTTGAGTTTGAAAACATCACTGCACCAAACTCGATCGAGCCAGAATCTAACCATGAACCAGAACTCAATCGAGCCAGTGAACCAGAGCCTGAATATGACAAGGCTGAACTCGATCGAGTTACCAAGCCAGCTGACAGAGTTAGTCCCAGTCTGCCTGCTAAGTCTGTTAGTAAGAAGAAGGACACTCCATTTGTGCCACCAGCCTACAAACCCCCTTTGCCTTTCCCAGGAAGGTTCAAGAAACAGTTGATGGAAAAGCACAAGGCTATATTTGATGAAATAATGAAGGAGATTGATCTGAAGCTGCCTTTTATTGATGCACTAATGCTCATTCCACCTTACAAAAAGTTCCTGAAAGATGCTGTTCTTCAAAGGACCAAGGAAGCTCAAGGGATGGTAGTTCTATCCCATGAGTGCAGTGCAATCATCCAGCGCAAAGCCATCTCCGATAAGAAGAAAGATCCAGAGAGTTTCACGCTACCTTGCACGATATGACCTTTTTCATTCAAGAACAGCCTATGTGATCTTGGATCGTTAGTGTGTTTGATGCCTTTAAAAGTAGCAAGGAGGTTAGGTTACCACAAGTACCAAGCCTACGGGATCTCTCTTGTTATCGCTGACAGATCAGTGAGGCTACGTACTTGGATGCTTGAGGACCTACCTCTAAGGATAGGGAATGTCGAAATCCCTACTGACTTCATTGTGCTTGAAATGGATGAAGTACCAACAGACCCCCTGATACTAGGCTGACCTTTCTTAGCCACATCAAGAGCAACGGTAGATGTCTGTAAAGGTACAATAGAGCTGAACCTTGCGAAGGATTTAAAAATGATGTTTGACATCAAGGATACAATGAGGAAACCCACAATAGAAGGTCAACTCTTTTACATTGAAGAAATGGATCAGTTAGCAGATGAGCTTTTAGAAGAACTAGCCTTGGAAGACCACTTGCAAGTTGCTCTAACCAAGGATCAATCTGAAGGGTACCTACACACAGAAACCGAAAAGTATTCAAGGCTGCTTGATGCGTACAGACCAGTTCCAAGTACATTTTTCATTGAGAAGTTAGATAAGACAGTATGTGAGGTTCTAGCAGTGGACTCGACCAAGAACTCGATCGAGTCGGGTCGCAGATCTTCTGACTCGATCGAGCCAGACACCGGATGCAAGGAACAAGTTTCTGGAGACTGGTCAGAACTCAAGGCACCTAAAGTCGACCTTAAGCCTTTTCCCAAGAGCCTCAGGTATGTGTTTCTAGGTGAAAACTCAACCTACCCTGTCATTGTTAACTCTGAGTTGAAACCTGAACAATTGGATGCATTGATTGTTGAGTTAAGAAAGTACATGAAGGCCATTGGATACACACTTGATTATATCAAGGGCATCTCTCCTGACTTATGCATTCATAGGATTCATTTAAATGATGAAACAAAGTCTACCATTGAACCTCATAGAAGATTGAACCCAAATCTGAAGGAAGTAGTGAAGAAAGAGATACTCAAACTGCTTGATGCTGGGATAATCTATTCCAACAGTGATAGCACTTGGATATCTCTAGTTCACTGCGTCCCTAAGAAGGGAGGAATCATTGTCATAAAGAATGACAAAGAGGAGCTGATCCCCACTAGAACAATAGTGGGGCATCGCATGTGTATAGACTATAGAAAGTTAAATTCTGCATCTAGAAAATATCATTTTCCTCTTCCTTTTATTGATCAGATGCTTAAAAGATTGGCAAACCATCCCTTTTACTGTCTTCTTGATGGTTACAGTGGCTTCTTTCAAATCCGGATCCACCCAAATGATCAGGAGAAGACCATTTTCACATGCCCTTATGGCACCTTTGCTTATCGAAGGATGCCGTTGGGCCCCAACTACTTTCCAGAGACGCATGATGTACTTGTATTTTGCATGGTTTTCGTACATCTTTTATGCATCTTTTGCATAGTTTTAGCCTTCATTAGCATCATATCTTGTTCCTTTTCCTTCCTTATGCATACATTGTAGTTTTAGGTTGCATTTGCATACATGTGCATGGTTGATCCTTAAACAGGTCTATTTGGAGCTTTATGGAGCACTTGGGACGTGAGGAGCAAGGAAGGATTGTGCATGGAACTCAGCTCGACCGCGCAGCTCATAATGAAGAAAGGAACCGCCTTTGAAGCCAGCTCGATCAACCCGCACGACCCACTGGTCGAGCTAGGCCAAACACTCAACTTTGCACTAGCTCGACCGGCCAAGACCGAACTCGATCGAGGTACTTTTCAAGAGTCAAACCCGAAAACTGTTGCTTCCCTTTGACTCCCCTTTGACCCTAAACCTAATTTGCTTTACTATAAAAGGCATTGAGCCACAAATTAAAGACATCTTTTGGTCAACTTTTATTTAATCTTGTAATTTGTATTTCCCTTTTTAGTTTTTAGCCTCTCTTTGTGTTCTTGAGCTCATCCTCATTGAACCTTAGATCTAGGCTTTGTTATTGTATTTTTTTCACTCCTCTATTTCAATAAAAGTTGTTCCATTTGCTTCCCTCTATCTTTTAATGTCTATTTCATTGCTTTTAGTTGTGTATTTTGAAATGTGTAGTGAGTAGTTCCCTTTAGGGTTTAAGATGGGATAGATTAGAGGTTGTTTATGCTTAATTCCTCTTCCTCTATGTTCTTAATCTAACATCTCTCTCTTTTGGGCTAAGCTTAAGGCTGCACAACCACTATCCATGGTGTGTATGAGTCTAGGCGATTTTCCTCATGGGAATGAATGGGAAATTGCTTGAAAAATTCCACTAAGAGCTTCAACAAGTCCACTAAGAACTTCAACATGCTTGCCTCACGAAATGGGGTTTATAGGTGTTTAATGGGTGAGTTTGAACAAAGGTTCTAAGGCCTCCAAGGCTCGATCTCCCTGGATGACCCCCTGTTTCTGAGATCTTGTCTTGGCTGATAGCTTTCACCTTGGAAAAAAGTTAGTTAGGCTTGAGAAGTTCAATACCAAGATATAACTTGAGTACAAGTTGTTTAAGAGCAAGGTTGATTAAATGTAGGCTCCCTCTAGCTGCAAAATAATGTCTTTGACCCTAATCTTCGTCATAGTAGCTTAAAGTTTGCACCTTTATTTTTTTGCATTCACATTACTCTGTTTTACACTAACTCGACTCCCAACTCGATCGAGCTGAATTCCCCTGTTTCTACTCAATCGAGCTCTTGGTCGAGCTCGGTTACTGTGACATCCCAGTTTTCTAAAAATGGGCCTGTTTTAAAATTTGGATTCCGAGGCCCATTAACCCATGTGTGTGTGATACATACTTTGTTCGTGAATCGTCCCCTATATTTTGGAAAAACCTAGCCGTCAGCGAGAAAGAAGAGAGAAGGGAGGAAGAGAAAAGCTCGTGGAGGAAAGGAGAAAAAGGAGAGAGAAAGCTGAGGAGAGAAGAAGGAAACCAGAAGTGAGAGAGAAGAAGAACCGTGAGAGAAGGAGAAGAATAGAGAGTTTTACCGTGAGCCATGACGGAGCCAATGTCGGAGACCACCGATCATCACCGCCGGCCACCACCTTCACCACCATGGTCCGAGCACCACCGGAGGTCACAGCCATCATCGTCGGAGCTTCCGATCTGCCGCCGCAAGCTCAAGCCGTGAGGATTGAGAGTGCACCTCTGTTTCTTGCGCAGCAAGCAACCCATCTCCACATGTCACGTCCTCATGTTCCTTTCCGATCAGCTTTTAGGCCAAGGTGAGGATGAATCTTCACCGTTCCTTAATATGTGTTATTCTATATTATTTAACGCTAAGACTTGGTTTAAACCAAGCATAACCTTGTTTGTTGTTTGTGAACCCTAGTATTATTTTAGGAACCCAATTGTGTTATATAATTATTTAGTTAATTAATTATATTTTATTGGGTGAATTTGAATTGTTTTATTCATGAAGAATTATGTGTGAAATTATTTATGGTGTATAAATAATTGTTTCTTGTTATTAATAAATATTATATTTATTTATTATTGTGTATTAATATTTATATGGATTATATAAATATTTGTGGAATTGATTGTGAAGTGATCTTGATTGTTGAGTGTTGAAGAACATATATCGAATATGGATTAATTAATGATCGGACATGGTATTTAAAACGGTTGAGTGTTAAAAGGATCATTGTTGAGTGTGGTGTGTGATGGTTATATATATGTATATATAAAGTGTTTATATATAAAGTTATATGTTGGACGCTTAGTGAGAAGCGTGTTAGTTAGTGGCGGTTTAAAGGTACCGTGCAACACAAGTAAGGTGGAGGGATTGTGGAAGGCGTGTGGCGCACCATAGTGGATCCTCTTGCTTGGTGTTGGTGTTTGCTGGATGTGGGGTAGATAAAGGTTGCTCTTACCCCAATCCATCGTCGGTGGCTTGACGAGCCAGGCGTCTTGACGTCTTGAAAGAGAGGCGGACAGCGATGTGGCGCTTTGTACCACGGGGGTGTGTGCAGTGATGCGCGGATACATCCAGGGTGTTGAGTTACTGGAGCAAGATACTACGGGGTGTTGTGCCGGTATTTGGTAGCTTCACACGTGGTTGAGCTTGGCTGGACAAGAAACATCACCGTTACAGACCATATTACGTGTTGGGTGTATAGTCCCTCTAGGAGGTTGTTGCGTTATACAGCGTGTGTGGTGTTACATACTGTATGAGAGGTGACTCATGGTTTGTGTTGTATACACGGCGGTGTGTGGTGATTCACTGTATGTGCCGTGTTATACACCATCCTTGTGAACTATATCGTATGATGTGTTATACACTGCGTGTGTTGATACACACCTTATGTGTGGTGATTCATATATGTGTGTGACATATATTGTATGTGTGGTGATGCACCGTATGAGTTATGTTCACACCGTATGTGTGGAACTGCATGGTATGAGTTGTGTAATGCAGCATGTGTGCTAGTTGGCGTTGTATAGATGACGTCTTGTTTGATGCTGTTTTAGCCCAAGCCTGGGCGTTTGTTTTATAGCGTTTCGTATGTTGGGCCCGGTTTAGATTCATTCTCCTGGGTAATCTAAATTACTCATCCCCCTCCTTTTTCCCTTCTGTTTCCTTTTCTTGCAGGTAGGTACAGAAGTGTTGATTCAAGTATAAGTTGGTGGATTTTGTTAAAGAACATCTTGGATTTGGGACCATGGTTATGACATCGCGGTTTAAGCTGGTTAAGCTTGTAACGGATGTCTTGATACGCCGTCATTTCTCGGGAGTCCGGGTGACGGGTGTCACAGTTACTTTTGCTTGTTCTTGTTTATTTCTTGCATTTACTGCTTTGTTTACATCCGCATCTACTGTTTACTTGCATTTTCATTTTATTAGGTTGTTAGTTGTTATCATTCCCCATCTTAAATCATTTGGCTTGACTTTCAAGTGAATGCATATTCCCATATAGTGACAACATACCCATTTGGATTGATAACCTCTTATACTATTCTGACTATGATGTTAAAGAGGAATTGATTGACTGTGATTGCATCTGTTTACTATACTATCTCATCTTCATTCCTACTTCACTTGCATCCATCACATTATGATATTTTCATTATATCCACAGTAAAATCCTTTCATCAACGCATGACCTCCATCTTTTCAGACCTGATAGAGGAGATGGTAGAAGTCTTCATGGACGATTTCTCAGTCTATGGAGCATCCTTCTCCTTATGTTTGTCGAACTTGTGCAGGGTCTTGCAGAGGTGTGAAGAGATAAATCTGGTACTTAACTGGGAGAAGTGCCACTTTATGGTTCAGTAGGAGATTGTTCATGGAGTGAGAGCGAATTGGGAGAATTCGAGATTGGGGTGAACATTGGAAGGTGAGAAAGTGATGACTCTTCAAATGAAGAAGGAGAGGAGGTTGATCAAGAAATTGAGGGAAGTGAGCATGAGAGCAATGAGAATGTACCAATGGAGGAGGCTAAGTCAGAAGAAGAGGAGGATGAGCTCCTAATGTACTTGCATTTTACATGGTTTTAGCCCTTCTTTTATGCATCTTTTGCATAGTTTCATTCACCCAAGCATCATTCTCTTTTTTCTCTTCTTTTGCATACATAGTAGTTTTAGGCTTGCATTTGCATACATATGCACGTTTGATGTCTTAATCAGGTCATTTGGAGCTAATTGGAACATTGCCTATCACTGGAGACTAGTTGAGGAAGGAAAGACTCTGTCTGCCCCATGTACGGACCCGCACTCGGTCGAGCTAGTGAGATGCGTCCGAAGTATCGTAGCCTCTGGAAGTTGTGGATAATTGAGTTAGCTTTCGTCTGGAGGTGGTTTCATGTCATTCGGACCAGCGTTCAGAAGATACGACGATATTGGTTGGACTCGACCCACCAGCTCGACCGGCCAGTTTCCAACTCGATCGAGCTGCTTTTCCAGGAGTCAAAGTCAAACCCGAAAAATGTTGCTTCCCTTTGACTCCCCTTTGACCCTAAACCTAGTTTGCTTTACTATAAATGGCATTGAGCCACGAATTAAACACAGCTTTGGCTCAACCTTTTAATTAATCTTGTATTTGCATTTCCTTTTTACTTTTTAGCCTCTCTTTGTGTTCTTGAGCTCTTGCTCATAGAACCTAGATCTAGGCTTGTTATTGTGTATTTGCACTTTGCTATTTCAATAAAAGTTGTTTATCTTTATCTCCTCTTTCTTGATGTCATTTCATTGCATTTGGTTGTTGTTTACATTCATGTGTAGTGAGTAGTTCCCATTTAGGGTTTAAGATGGGATAGGTTAGAGGTTGTTTATGCTTAATCCTTCTTGCTTATGTTCTTAATCTAGAAATCTCTCTCTTTTGGACAAACTTAAGGCTACATGACCACTACCCCTGGCTTGTATGTCATAGGCGATTCTCCACATGGAAGTGATGGAAATTGATCGCGGGATCAGGTCTTCCCTTTTCCTATCCCTGATTCTGCAAGTGCACAGATCAAAAGTAGTAAACGGGTATCGAACACAAGGAGCAGATAAGTACACTTCGA